TTAAACAAAGAGATAGAAGTAATAAGGATTTAGTTCAAGTGAAGTGTATTAAGTATAAAGATTAAAAAATACTTTTATTAGAAGAGAATATTCAACAAAGATGGATAAGATATTTTGCTAAATTTTTTAATAAAGATTATGAAAATGTAATTGACTTTAGTGACCTTAACACCCGAAATGAAAATAAAGAATTTTGTTTTTATCGGCGTATTAGTAAACCGGAAGTTAAAGAGACTTTAAAGAAAATGAAGTGTGGAAAAGTTGTTGGATCTGATGATGTTTCAATAGAGGTGTGGAAATGCTTAGGAAATGAAGGAATTTCTTGGCTGACAAAACTTTGTAATATTATTTTGAAGACTAAAAAGATGGAAAATGAGTAGAGAATGAGTGTATTGATTCTTATTTTTAAGAATAAAGGTGATGCACAATATTATGTGAACTATAGAGGAATTAATGTGCCATACCTTAAAACTATGGGAGAGAGTTATGGAACATAGGTAGCAGCATGACTCTAATGTTTCTCAAAATTAATTTAAATTCATGCCAGGCAGGTCTACTATGGAAGCTATACATTTATTGAGTGGTTTGATGGAGTAGTATAGAGAGAATAAGGAGGATCTACGTATGATTTTTATTGATTTAGAGAAAACATATGATAAAGCTACAAGAGAAATGCTATGGAGAGTTCTACATAAGAAAGGGGTTAATAATGTCTACATTCACGTCATTAAGGATATGTATGCAAAAGCTATTACTTGTGTTTAAACACAAGCTGGTTTGACCAAGAATTTTCCTATTTCAATATCAGCATTAAGCCCATATCTTTTTTCTTTAGTCATGGATGTTCTCACCATGGTTTAAAATTGCGCAATATGAGGCTCGCCTTAAGGCCCGCCTTTGCGCAATTCCAGTAAAAAATGACTCGATGCTTACGCCTCAAGTTTTTTTTTATGAGGCTTGCGCCTCAACTTGGTTGAGGCCCGCCTCGCCTCACTGGCATGAGGCTTACACCTCAAGCTATATATATTAAAACTTACATAAATCTTGAAGTAAATGTCCGACATTGGACTCTATAGGAGAGGAAGGGGAGGAGAGAGCAGTTCATCATAATGATGATTCAAATGAATAACCCCTTAGTGATGACAGTGTTGATAACTTATGAGTTCTTATGAGATATGTCATTGCTATTTATTTTTGGAAATTGGAATTATATGTTAATGAAAAGAATACTGGGATTTGGGAAAGATAGAATTTTGAGTTGAACTATATTTCATGTTGTCTTATTATTGGGATATTTTGATTTCACTTCATATCTTATATTTTTTTATGTTTTATATTATTCACTCATTAGTATATAAAAATTTTATCATTTTATGTTTACGCAATCTTTTGATTTTGAGGCTTACGCCTCGCCTCACAAATGAAAAATGCCTCAATACCCGAATACGCAATTTTAAACATTGGTTCTCACTAGACATTTGTAAGAGGTTGTACCCTGGTGTATGCTTTTTGCTGATGATATTCTTCTTATTAATAAAACTAGAAAGGGAGTTGAAGGTAAACTTAAATTATAGAGGTCAAGCTTAGAGTATAAAGACTTTCATTTAAGTAGATCTAAAACTGAATATATAGAGTATAACTTTGGTAATAATAATCTAGTGGGGGAATTGTGACTTTGGATAATCAAGCCATTAATAGAGTACACATTTTAGATATCTTGGGTATATTGCTCAGAGTAATTGTAAAATAGATGGTGAAATTATTGGTAAAATTAAAGTTGGAAAGTTGAAGTGAAGGAATGCATCGAGCTTGTTGTGTGATAGAAAAGTTCCTCTCAAACTTAAAGAGAAAATTCTATAAGACAGAAGTGAGACCTACAATGCTTTATGATGCAGAATGTTAGCTATTAAAAGAGAAGTATAATATTAAGTTAAGTGTTGCAGAGATGAGAATGCTCAGGTGGATGAGTGACTTTACTCTTAGAGACAGGATACGAAATGAGCATATACGTGAAAAGGTTGGAGTAGCTCCAGTGGAAGATAAAATTAGAGAGAGTTGCCTTAAATGGTTTGGTCACATAAAACGATGGCCTTCTGATGACCCGGTTAGGAAAGTATATTTATTTGATTTGACTTATATTAAGAAAGGTAAAGGTAGATCTAAAAAATTTTGGTTAGAAAATATAATAAATGACCTTTCTTATTTGATTTAGATGATAATTTGACTCTTAACAAGACACAATGGAGAAAAATGATTCACGTAGCTAACCTCACATAGTGGGATAAAGGCTTATTGTTGTTGTTATTTGTTGTTGTATATGTAAACAAAGTCTCATGTAACTTTCCCAATAATTAATAAGTTTTCTTGGTGCAATGTTGCAATAACTACTCAAGTTATCTATTTGGTGTCATTGACTAGCTTTTACTAAGGGATTAGGAATTTTTTAATGAATTTTAAGAGATAAATTAAGGAATATTAGGCCCTATATATAGCTCATATTTGTGAAGTAAAAAAAATCTCCAAAAGTGAACGTGCGAGGTTACTTCTAAAATCATTCAAAGAAAAGGTAGAGAAAAAATTACAAAGCATTCATCTAAATATCCATCCTCAAAATGCTTCATTTCTTTGATAATAGATTATTTCATTCAACATCTTGGATTATTGTAAGTTTATTTTTCAATTGTATATCTTCAATCATGTTTAGAGAGATTGAATTATACTTTTATTATCAGGAGATTGCTATTAGGTCTCCATCAAAATTCAAGAATTTTGGATTGGTGCATTTTCTCTTTGTGTAAGGACAGCAGAAAGCCGAAGTCAATTAGAAATTAGGAATTTAACTAAATGGTAATTGTGGATATAATTTTCATTATGCTATTTTGTAATACTATAAATTTACTTCAGCTTAAATTATTATTACTCTCCTTTTAGCTTAATCCACGACATCATTATAATAATGTATTTAGACGGAGGTCCGACGGCGGGCGACGATGGTCGGAGGGGCCACAGTCGGCAGGCGATGGTAGTCGAAGGAACCGTAGTCAACGGGCAACGATGGTCGGATGGATCATATAGTTAGCGAACGATGGTGGTCGAAGGGACCGTAGTTGGAGAGCGACAGTGGTCAGAGGGACCTTAGTCGAAGGGGGACGGAGGTCGAAGGGACCATAGTCGAAGGGCGGCCGAGGTCAGAGGGGCCGTAGTCGGTGGCGAGGGGTAGTTGAAGGGATTATAGTCTGCGGGCAACAGTACTCGGAGGGTTGTAGTCAGCGAGCGATGGTGGTTGGAAGACCGTCAGCAGCTGGTGATGGAGGTTTAAGGGACCCTTAGCATTGGACGACAGAAATCGGAGGGACCATAGTCGAAGGGCGGCGGAGATTGAAGGGATCATAGTTCGTGGGTGACAGAGGTAGGGAGGAATGTAGTCGAAGGGATACGAAGGTGGAATGGGCTATAGTCGGCAAGCAACGAAGCTCGGAGAGACCGTAGACATCGGGCAATGGTGGCTAGAGGAACCGTAGTCGTCGAGCAACGGTGGAAGAGGTAGACCTAGGGGTGGTGGCCGAATACAGGTGTGAAGATGGAGATCGGGCGGAGATTCAGTAGCGATCTCTGTTTAAAATTTATTGGCGCACCTTGAGGCGCGCCTCTGCGCAATTTGACCCAAAACCGCCTCGAGGCTTACGCAATTCCTCTCCTGGCAGAGGCGTACGCCTCACTTGGACTGAGGCGCGCCTCAAAGGCGCAATTGCGCAATTCTAGCTGAGGCGTACGCCTCAAATATATGCTTATTATCGCTCAGTACCGCTCAGTATATGCTCGGTATAGCTAGGTATTTGCTCGGTACTGCTAGGTACATGCTCGGTACACTAATATTTTGTGGTTTTGTACTTTGGGACATGATTTTATTGCATTTATTTTCTTATTTTCCCCTAATTTTAATTGTCATTTAGATATTTTTATTGTATGATAGAATCTTACTATTTTTTACTTGTTAAAACCCTTAAATTCTCATTTACGCAATTCTTCGTCGGTGAGGCTTACGCCTCACACTGCCTCGAGGCTTACGCCTCGCCTCACAGACGAAAAATGCCTCGAGGCTTATTTACGCAATTTTAAACCTTGGTAGCGATGGCAAGTCGGCAAGGGTTTGCCAGCGATGTTGTCGGGGTGGAGCTTTGCGATGCTTCAAGCCTTATAGTTCTCTTGATCTCTAGCCCAAGGTGCAAGCTTCCAGAGCTCCTCCCCAGTCCCAGCCCCCAAGTTGCTTGAGATTTTTAGGGTGTGTGATGTCCCTTTGGCCCAATTTTTATGTAGAGCTACCTCAATCATTATGGGTTAGGCAGTTTTCTATAGGGAACGTGGGATCAGGCTCTCTGCTCGGAACAATTATTACGTCCTCCGACCGGATGCAGAGAAACATCAGGTCGCAGGCAAAAATCGCGCGGTACACCTCGGCACCGCGCGATTTTTGCTTGCGACCGAATGTTTCTCTCATTCGGTCGACCGAACCAAATAAAAACTCCTCTGCTCGACCGCCAACAACTGTTGGATCTTCTCCCATCCATTGCTACCAGACTTCCAACTTCCATCGTCTGATCATGGTCGTCACAAACTCCCAAATACTTATACGAAGTTCGACCAACTCTCCAAACTATTATAATTTCACCGTCTCCAAGTTAAGGGATGGGTCAAGCTTCGTAACTCACTCAAGTATAGTTGAATCTTCTAACCTGGGCAAGGCCCTTTGGTTTTCCCCTTTTTGGATTTTCAACATAAAAAGGTTCTGGTATTTCCTTGTTCTTTCAATTATCTCTTTGTGTGTTGGATATCCGTACATCATTAGGACAAAACATTCTCTCACTCTACAGCCATGAATATGCTAACCCTCAACACTAACCATTGCTCCAATGTCTGCCCTCTAAATTCCTTCAATTCACCAACAGCCAAACTAAACAGATAACTAACTACCAAGGATGATTTCATACAATTAAAAGACCCAAAAAAGCATTAAACTATCTCCAGTTCCCCTCAATGCAATGCCAAGTGTTTACAAATCCACAATGAAGGTAATCACCGACACAACATAATTTTGGAAAAGATGAATAAAAACATACCTGGAGTCTACCCATGTGGAGCTGGGGATTACACATATTCCCCAAATTTCTAAGTAAATCCGCCCTCATGCAAAACACAATATCCCTCAACGACCCCTCCTCCCTCCTCTGCCGCAGCTCCTGGAGTTTATTCCGTACTATCTCCTCGTCATAAAGATCGCACTTGCTCGAACCTCTCGCCGCATTCTCCCTGTCAAGCATCCGCGCGGCGTGCGCCCACTCTTCGTACGTCACCGCGGCACGCATCATATTCCTCCAGAAATTACGCCGGTATGCCGATTCTGCCCGCGATCGCACGTTGGTACTGCGCCGGAGAAGAAAAGCCATCAGCACCATTGCAGCTAGGATCCCTTGCGTGTTGCGCGGGTGTAGGAAGCCGATGACACGGCGTAGAAGATGCGACAAGCTGCTTCGGAGCTGAGAGATTGACTTGCAGAATAGAACGCGGAGGGCGATGGTGCGACCGATGAGGGATGAAGGGCCGATCTTGAAGGGATCTAAGCTTGCCTCGTTGGTGATAGTATCCATCGTCGAGAGCCGGAGGAGAGACTTACCGCTAGGGTTTGGGAAGGGAAGAGGGGATGGAAGGAGGAAATAGCAGAGGTAGAAGACGAAAATGACGGGTTGACGTGGGTTGGAATAGGAAAGAGAGGAGAGCTTCACCGGGTTCTGACCGAGCTTGTTTGGCAGGTGAGAAGCGGTGGCGATAATGGAAGACCAACTGATGGGGATTAGCCTTTTATGATAAATTAGTGGGCCAGGATAAGTTCATCTAAATTAATCAATATCCTTGCCTCGAACCAGCAGTAGAGGGGAAGTACCCCTCCAAGGCTATCCTGTCCTCTTATCCCACTCCTATTTTGTCTTGTTATGGACGCTTTTTCCAACTCCGAAGGATGGGGGATTCAAGGGTTTCAATTTTGTGGCTTTAATGTTAATCATCTTCTTTATGCGGATGATATCCTTATTTTTGGAGAAGTCAGCGTCGATAATTGTCATTCTCTATCTAGAGTCCTCAACTCTTTTGCTAATGTCTCTGATCTTCATGTTAATCTGGATAAAAGCTACCTCATGTTCCCCAAGAAGCTGAGAAACCAAAATGTCATATGTAATGCCCTCTCCATTCATAACATTTGTCAAAAAGTTACTTACTTGGGCATCCCACTTTCTTTTAATTCCTTGAAGGTAGCTGATTTTATGCCTCTAATGGACTCGATCACTACTAAGATGACAGGTTGGAACGCCTGTCTTCTTTCTTTTGCTGACAGACTGCAGTTTTTAAAATTTACTATTTTGAATTCTATAGCTTATTGGATCCGAGGATCCATTATACCCAAGACTGTTTTGAACTTCATCAAAAAGACATCTTCAAAGTTCCTCTTATTTGGGCATTCTGCTGGTAACAAAAAGATTCACATGGTATCTTGGGACAAAATCTACAAACCTAAGTCTTGTGGTGGTTTGGGTATTCCCTCTTTGAATGCTATTCAGTTCGCGTATAACTGCTCTGTTATCTCTAGAATGTATAATACTTCTTCATTGGTATCTTCCTGGTTTTTAAAAAGATACATATCTCTCTGGAGGCCACCTATTTCTCAAGCTTCTAAGTTCTAGAAATCTCTTTGTAACACTGCCACAACTGCCAAACCTTTCTTTAAATTCAGGATCTCTGAATTCGCTCCCATTTCCATACATTAGGACCACTGGTGTCATGATTCTACTCTTTTGGATAATGCAAATGGGATGCACCTTCTCAATGTTATTAACTAGGATGCCACTCTTAATACTATTATCTCCGGTAATAGTTGGGCTATCCCCGAGAGTCTACACTCCTCTATTAAGAACATGATTACTGCTATTTGCATTCATCAAAGGAGTGATTCATGTTTAATTTGGGAAAACGCTGATGTTGGCATGGCTCTTTTAGTGCTTACATAAAAGGTTTTTATAAGCAGAAGTCTATCTACTCTTGGTCTCATCTCATCTGGCACTCGAAATTTGTTTTGAGATACTCGGTTTTTTCGTGGATGTCAGTGGTGGGAGCTCTGAAAATTGCTGATGCTTTAATTAAGTGTAACATTAATGTAGCTCTCACTTGTGGGCTCTGTCATTCTTTCCCTGAATCCACTTCAAATCTGTTTTTTGAATGTTCTTACTCCTCTATAATCACCCGTCTGATGCCTATTGCTAATGGGCTGCTGCTCAGGCCATCGACGCTGCATTTGTTGGAATGGATAAAAGAAATTTTCTATTCTAATCAGCAGCACAAAAACCTGTCTCTTCTATTAACCAGCAGCTGCATTTATTATATTTGGAAAGAGCAAAATGATAGAAGGTTTGGTAATGTTTCTCACAGCTCTATCACTATTACGCTTAACATTTAAAAGAGCAGTGTATGAGAAAATTTGCAAATGGAATGATCCCTCCTCTTTACTGGAGCTACTTTGAAATAGGCCCTTGTTGCATTATCGTTGCATTTTGCTGGAAGTTTTGGTATGGTTGGCATACGGGTAATGCCTTGGACAATGATGTACCCTTGTGCAGGCTCCCTTGGATGGCCTTTTGGGCAACCAGGGAAACTCGTTACGAAACATATTCGACGCTTTGGAAAATTCTGAGTCCAGGCAACTCTTTTATTTCCAGTTCTTATGGGTTTTTCTGTTTTTGTCCCCAGGTAGTCTATTCCTACGGAGTTCTCTGTTCCTGGGAATGAGGTGGAATTTTGTTAACATATTGTATTCTTTTTTTGTCTTTTAAAGGATGTAATTTTGTTTTTTGGGCTCTCATAGAGCATGCCTCCTTTTCTTTGAGGCTTTATAATTACTTGTAATCTTTTCTTTGATCAATATACGGGCTAAGCCCAAATTTTCCAAAAAAAAAAAAAATATATATAATCTTTATAATTATTAGATTTATTTTGATAGAAATATAATATAAATTATAATTAATTATTCATTTAAAAAAAGTTTAATAATTATTATAGATGTCTTGGAAATTAATAGTCAAATATTTTGATATAATTTTCTTACTTAAGACTTTACCCACTTGGAGTTGTATGAGTAGGTGGAAGGATATAGAGAGGCTTTGGTTTTCATATCCACCTGATGATTAATGAAGCATTTTGAGAACTCTGATGTTGCCCAAAAAGCATATTTAGCTAATGACTGACAAAGAGTTATGCCATATAAACTTTGGCAAGCTTATGAATAATGCCATTTTTTATTGCATTTGCATTTTAATAGATGTTGTGACAGCCTTAAATTTAATTTCACTAATATTCTTATAAATATGAAATTTAGTTGAATGAGCACTACGGTGTTGCACTTATTGGCGCTACGATGCCAAGTTCTTTGGTTTATAAGGGTTTGAGTGAGCCTTGTGGTGCTAGGGTCTTGAGCGCTATGGTACTAGGCTTGAAATTTAATTTTTTAAAATAAAATATATAAAACCATTATATTAAAACCCTGACCCCTCCCCCATTTTGCATGTCGGGAAATAGAAGAGAGGGAATGTAATAACCCAAAAGTGTGCAATGAATTTATTTGGAAAATATGAAATTTTTGTAGTGTGCTATGGTGCTAGGCCACTAATAATATTTTTATATATTTTTTATTATAAATAACTATGCCTCACCCCAACGCCTCCCTCACTTAGTTGCTTGGTCAGGATGAAATTGAAGGAGGAGAAGAAGATAAAGAAGATATAAACATCATTGGGTCATATTTTTCCTTCTTTTTTGTTACATATTTTGTTCAATTTGTTGTAAGTAATCATCTTTTTACCTTTATTTAAAAAAAAATTTATTTTTATGAATTTATCTCTCCTAAATCTGTTAAAAATATTATATCATGATTTATAAGCTTTCGTCACATCACTCTTGATATTTATAGATTTGATCATTCTGAACAATATGATATAATTTTATTATATTTTTATAGATTAAATATGTGTATAAGAATTTATGGGTAAAATAAGTAAAAAAATGACAAACTGGAAATGGGTTGACAAGTGTTATATTATGATTTGATATGATAAAACTGCAAAAGTAATATGTATTGAAATAATTAATTGATATGATTGAGTTATGCCAGAATGTTTGCTACTAGTCTGAATCTAATATGATGTATGGATATAATGTACTGATTGATATTAGATATATTATATGATAATCTCATGTGATATCCTCAAGATTCATGTGGTCCAATGATGAGAGTTAGTCAATGGGAGTCATAAGGAGCTGGAGATTAATTGAGAGTTATAAGTAGTTAAGGCGATTGATTAAATGGGAGTTATAAGGAGCACATTAATTAAGAGTCATAAGGGATGACTAATTAAGAGTTATAAGTGTATGAGTAAGAAGCCCTCAAGATATCCTCTTCTAAATATTTGAATATTTTTATTGATATGGATATTGTTCGGATATTAATATTACAAATACTAATCATTGTTAATGATTATTATTATTGGTTAATGATTAATATTACTATTACTTTGACTGACACTGAGAATAATGATAATATTACTAAAATAGTTCTACTACTGATACTCAATATTGTTATTGATGCTGTCAAATGCAACCTATAAAGAAAGTTTGAAAACCATTAATTATTATTAAAAGAAATAAAAATGAGAGCAATGATCACATAAAAAAAGAGTAACGAATTCATTAATATTAAATGTAAACAAATGCATGCATAAGCTAAATTATCAGAAATATGAGCTTGAATTTTATCACTAATTTTGTTTAAATTTTTTTCATCATTTTCATCATCCTCTTTTTTTCTGCTCAATGAATCTATATCAATCTCTTCATAATCATCCTCAATATTATTTAAATTATTTACTAGCTCATTAATAGGAGTAGGTTATATGAATTATGACATCTTTTTTAATGGGCAACCCCTGTTACATGTTTATTATCAATTAAGTTTCTGTTTTAGTCTTATTGACTAATGATCAAACTGGTTTATATTCTATTCTTCTAGGGTACTTTGCATAATGCACTTAAACTATTTTTTTGTGCTAGAATAAGGCTTTGTTTGAGATAGCTTTAGACCACTATTTTTTCTTTGCTTTCAAAAAAATTTTGTGCTAAAAAGTAGCTTTACAAAGCAAAAAAAAGCTATCCCAAACAAAGCGTAAAAATATCATATTTTACTCATATTCTACTTCTTCTTATCTCAATAATTCCATATTGCACATGAGCTCTTGTGCCTTGAATTTGTATAGGATAATCACAATTGAAGAGAAAATTACTTAATTATAATGTAGTATAAGTTTAATATAAAATACATAAAATAATCTATGATTAGATCATAAATTTATGTTTTTATCTAAACCAAGCTATGAATTTAGCTTAAGAACTTTTATTAATTATATCAAAATTATTTATAAGGAATGTGCTCATGAATATTATGCAAAGTGTGTGTTGCTTTAAAAAAATGAAGTGAGCAATATTATTGACAATGAAAGAATTTTCATGAACTAACTCTAAGAAAGGCTATACTTCCTCACAGTGCAAGAGAATATATCATGTTGTAGCAGTGACCTATATGTGATATCCTATGCTAAGTTTGTCTCTGATAAAGCCTTTTATATGAGCTTTATTTTTTGCTATTTTATTGACATTGCTTAGAAATCTATAATAATATTTAAATGCATTAGATAAATTATATAAAATATTTTCTTAATAAATAAATAACATAAAGTATATTTTATTTTATCAATAAAATAAATACATCCAATAATATCAAAACAGGTCACCAAATATGATATATAAGGTGAATAATATATCTTAACACTATAGGAAAATTGTCAATTACTGGCGACTTTTTCCGACAGTTAGTATAAAGTTTCCGGCGGTTTTGAAAACTACCGACGGTTTTCCAGCAGTTTGTTAACCGTCGGTATAAACTGCGTAGGAAATAAATTGCGGCGATCAGTTTCCGGTGGCTAAATCTTCAAGCAACTTTCTGGCAGCCAACACAACCAATAAATTTCGGCAGTCATAGCGCCGACAGCATACCGACCATCTCAAACGCCAGTTCTTTCGGTGGCCCAACTGCCGGTTGACCGCCGGTAAATCGGCTATAGTAAAATTCCGGCAGTTCAAATAAGTCGTATGGTATCGATGTTTCCGACGACTAAACCGCTGGTTAGCCGCCAAAAACCTGTAGCATTTTCAAAAAAAAAAAATGACAACCTCCTCTATTTACATCAATTTTCACAATACATGTACATAATTTAAAAACATATATAACACATAAACTTTAAGGACAATATGCCACTATAATCAACCCACATAAATTGAGTCTAAAATCAACATAACATTCAATAGAAAAACACAATCAAATAACATGAACACAACATTTAGGCTTCTATGGTGCTCATAAGAGACCTAGACTAGGTTAGGCCGTTAGGGGAGTTGATCCAACCTTAATTAGGTCATGCTTTAGTTTTGACTAGACTTAGGCTTCATTTGGGATGACTTTCTTACTGCTTCTTAAAGTTATTTTCTAGTATAAAAATTTTAATTTTTGTACTAAAAAATTACTTTAAAAAGTAGTAAGAAAGCGGTCCAAAACGAAACCTTAGATTTAAGTAAGATCTAATATATGGTAGCAACCTTTAGCAAGGTTCATGACCATTTAGAAAGGAGTGACCAAGTGAATGTAGAGGAGTGTGTAATATAATGGTGATTTATTGCTCTATATGCCCAAATACCTTAGTGCAAAATGATTGCAACAAAAAAAGATATCAACATGCATCAAGATGTTTTAGGTTCGAATATTGCGTGTATATGTGTTATGTGTGTGAATTTGTTTTAATTGACCTAAATGTCTCCCTAAAAAATGCAGCTCTCAGCCATCTGACAAATGTCAATTATTTAGTCATTTGCTAGTTTCCAATAGAGAAAGTAAAATAGAAATAAACCATAACATACTTAGCACAAAGAAAACTGATGATGCCAAATGGAAGATCTATGAGGTAAGGCAGGCTGTGACAAAATAAAAAATATGGGCTAGGGCAAAAGCATCAAAACAAGATTAATTATAATGATTATCTAATTTATCATCATCATTACTTTTATGACAATTATAATTATAGACTTGGGTTTCATTTGAGACAATTTTTTTACTATTTTCTAAAACAACTTTTTAGTATAAAAATTTCTGGTTCAAGAAATTTGTATTCTAAAAAAACTATTTTAAAAAGCCTTAGCATCTGTTTGGGACGGCTATAATATTTTATTAATTTGATTGTAGGGAAAACAATTTAGCTATTATGATTACAATAAGTAATTTTTCATTATAGAAAATTATGAAAAATAATAAGAATATAACAATAAAGTAATAGCCAACCAAAATTATAGTATTTGCTATCTAAAAAGTAAAACAACAAGAAAATTGTCCCACACAGGAGAAATTATTTTATGTGGACGCCGAACGTCATTCAGAGACCAACCAGAGTGCGCTACGTCAACCCCTTGCTCGGTACCCGGCTCGGTACTGTTGACACGCATTCTAGTTGGTCTCCGGATGGTAAACTGTGTTCAGCATCCGCACAGAATAATTTCTCCCCACATAAACCCTTAATATAGAAAAATAATAAGCAATTAATGCATATGCAACATATCATCTGATGTACAGGTTACACGAATGAAAGGAAAAAAAGAAAATTCATCATATGAAGGAATTAATTGTAGTGAGAACAATAATAATTTCATTGCTGGTATGTTAAGGTGCAGCCATTTTACTTTCATGAACTGCACAAATGAATATAAAATACACAAAATATATGGTAGGTCTAAGACTTACTCTCAGAACCATTGGTTTGGTAGACTCTTTCAAATATATTTTTTACCAGCACTAAGCTTTCATCAACGGACAAAAAAATATGTAAAAAAGCATCTGCTAATGCTATTTAAAACTAAAACATCAAGATAGTCGGCTAAGAAAAGTTTACTACAAAATAATTTAGTAAGAAGAGTCATTGGAGTTCAGAACTAATCAGTAAAAAACTCGTAATTCACGAAATAAGAAAAGGTTAACAAAGAGACTAGCTGAGTTCTCCATTTTCAAACATGGCCGGCCTGGCTTGAAAGCCAGAACAATAAAAAATATCAAACGGCATAAAGACCAAAGCAATCCAAAGTTTCCAGATTTGAAGGAATCTCTTATAAGAATGCAATTTCATTTCTTCCTTTCAATACAAACAAATCCCCCACATCAGAAAAAACCTTAAGAGAGCAGAAGTGATGAAAGCCATCCAAGCCTGCTATAAAAAAAAAAGATCATTATGATGCCAACTGTTTGAGAAGCTCAGATTTCTGGGTGAGGAGCCTGATAAGATGATTTCTTCTAATCAGAAAAATGGCGGAGTTGGAGGTTGTGGAGATCAAATTAAGAAGTTCAAGCAGGAGAAATCCATGAAGGAAGCAAATCCAGATGGTCTCAACAAAGCTCCCATACAATCCAGTCATCTGGGACTGAGCCAGACACAACAAAGGAAACAATCTCCATCCAAAGTTACAAATGAATTGCATAATTACAAGAAGCCCACAAGTAGATTTGACGTAAGTAAGAACAAGCTTCAGGTATCCACTGACTTCTTAACTTCATCTAGTAAGATGAGAACCATAAATAACTCAGAGAATTCAGTTTCTTCTTCTGATCACCCTGGGGGTAAAGCTGTTGCCAAGGACCAGGAAAGGAATTCAGGATTAAAGCCAGCGAGGTCATCAATGAAGAAGAATCCAGGGGTGGGTCTTCACTCAACGGTGAATTTAAGCAGGGCTACCTGCTCATCAACTATTAAAATTGACAGAAATCCAGAAAGTTTGGATCTTGATGAAACTGATGGCGTCTCAAGCCAGAAGCTTTGCTCATACAAATACTGTTCCTTACATGGTCAGAAGAAAAACGAAGCGTCTTTGCCACCACTGAAGTGTTTTTTGTCAGCAAGAAGGCAATCGGTCAAATTGCCAAATAGCACGAAGCAGAAAGAACAGTCATCAACAAGAAAAAATGGTCGCAAGGAGATCCATTCCAAACCACAGGAAGGAATCCTGCAACAGCAGAGTTTTGAAGACAGTAACCAATATCAGGCTGAAATTGTTGATATTGTCAATGGAATCAATGGGGTGATAATGGAGGACTCTTATGAAACAAATCAGTTGCAGGAATCCTACTCGGTTACTAGCTTTGAAGACTATGCAGATAACAACAGCGAGATTTCAATAGAAGAGCTGAAGGTTTGTGATGAACGGATTCAATATACTGAGGCTGAGAGGCAAGAAGAAGCTCGTTTAGAATCTGAAAAAGGAAAAACTGGCCATGTTAATTGGGAGGAAGCAGCAGAGCCATATCTTCAAAGCCAGAGCAATTCTTCTCAGTGCACAACCTTCAGTTATGACAATGAAGAAGAATCTGCAGAATCCGCAAATGGAAGCTTACAAACTGGGATTGAGGTACCCAATTCTCCTAAAGAATTACTGGAACAAGACATGAAAGCTAGTGTGGAAAACGTTGGAAGTTGTGAGCCTTCTAAACATGAAACAAATTATGAATCACAGCAGAGTATAAGAAGCAACAATGATAAAGATAGAAATATCATCTCTGATGGATTGACAAATGAAAAGGAGGAAATTAAGTATTCCGCGTCATTCATCTATGAAAATCCCTTAGCAGAATTGACGAATAGGCCTAAACCAACATACAGCACCACAAGAAAGATAACAGAAGAGAATCAGGAAAATGGAAGAGCATTCAATCCACGACCACTTCGATTACTTCCATTGAAACCAGAGCCAGAAGCAGAGGTGATCAACCTCAAGCATCAAACTGTGGATGAAAGAAAGACAGCTGAGGAGTGGATGATAGACTATGCTCTCCAAAAGACCCTCAGAAGAATGGCACCGGCCAGGAAGAGAAAGGTAGCGTTGCTTATCGCTGCTTTTGAATCTGTCATTCAACAAGAGCAGTGACTACTGCACCGTGATGATGATCCGGGAAATTCCATTTTTCTCTAGGTGGTAATGAATCGCATCTTTATTCATTCCATCAATGACATTTATTCTATGAATCTAACTACTTGATTGGCTAGATTAGGAGAAACCTCTTTCAGCCATTAATTTTTCACTTTGCTTCTTCTTTTTGTATCATGCAACAAGAATGTGCCCTCTATTACAAACTTGATTTAAGAATTAGTCTGTTGTTTGCAGTGTCAGTGGCAGCCAGGGATTAGTAGTGAGACTAGAATGTTACTCATAAATGTTGATTGAGAATAATTCTTAAATCGGTTCTCAACAAGATACTAATAGTTTTGATTGTGGTAATGCAAGTTTTTTCTTTCTTCTGAAGAGAAACTTGGGAACAAATGAATGGATTTTTTTGTAAATTTGGGTGAAGATGAGAACAATTCTCAAGAAATTTCTTATCCAGCTTTGAATAAGGGAATTTTATTTAATGTGTACAGAAGTCCATCATGGATTACTATGCCTCACTTTATTTGAAAATTAAGGTCATGCAATAGTTTGTCCAAGCATGTATGAGCTTCGAACATGGATGTTCCGTGAGACAAGAAGTAATGACAATAATTAAGAGATTTGATGAACTGAAGAAGACATAAACTAAAACAACAGTAACAATAATGTCAGGTGGTTGGTCAGCCATCAGATAAAGGAGCATCATCAACTTCTTTGCTAGTAATTCTTATAATATTGTGTTTTTGAAATATGCTAATACATCCTAAGACAAGAATAACAATAATGACAGGTGGTTGGTCAACCATCAAATAAAAGAGTATCATCAACTTCTTTGCTAGTAATTCTTATGAGATTTGGTTTTTGAAATATGCTAATCCATTAACCTTTGCTAAATATGCACCTCTATTATTTAAAATGGTCGATGAGGTTGTTGAAGTAGAAGAAGGTATAGTTTCCTAACTGTTAACAGATAATGCAAGTGTGTATAAGGCTAAGGAAGTACATGATGCACCTTCATTAGATTCTAAGTGCTGCTTAATGTCTCGATTCGATGTTTGAGAAGCTAGGATAACTACTATATGTGGGCTCCGAAAATTGGTGCTCTGGCCTCCCCTGTGCTTTCGAGAGAGTTTTAACGGATTAAGTTTCAATGCGTTTTTAAGAAGACATCTGGGTTTGTAGAGAAGACACCACCCAGAGATTTCGCCCTCATTTTGCGAGGACTTTATGATCTGAGCTATGGTTTCGAAAAAATAGTGCCAACTTCTATTTCAACATAAATATAATAGCTTTAATCTTAGCAATCATAGTTTATTTTTTAAATATGTAAATTTACCCAATTTCGATTCACAATAAAATAAAAAATCCTACTACTATCAAGAGCACAAGATGAAGGGGAGTCCTATTCAACAAAATCCATGATGTTATACCCTTCACACCAAAGCTCCCGAAGCAAAGATATCTTAGAACCATCATGAATTTTATAAGAAATATTATTTTTCATAAAAGCAACGGCTTTAGAAAAATTATTCCAAATCTTATAGCTCTTTGCAGTAGGACTATTCCAAAAGTTGCCAAATTTGTAGAATCACCATTTGCTCAGAAGACTATTAAAGTTTAAACTGCACCAGATAAGAGAAGAGAAAAATACATAGTGCATTATGAGAAGGTAACCCAAGGCCACCAAGATACTTTGGATTGCAGGTATTCTCCCAAGAAATAAGGTTTAATTTTTTAGCCTCTGAGTTATCATGATATAAGAACCTAAAACGTAGTCTAGATATTAATTTACAACATCTTTTAGGGAGAATTTTGCCCCTTATATAGTAAGAGATAGTTTTCGATGTTGAGAATTTCTAAAATTACACCATACCCGCAAAAGAGAGGGATTTTTCTTTACACCCATCAGGAAACCTAGATAGCTTACTCATTAGAGGACTAAAATCAAAGATAAGCAGCCTTTTGATAGAAATAGGGATTTCCTAGTAAGAGATGACTCTATCGCAATTACTGATATTAAGGGAATAAAAACTTGCTATTGGTGTCTAAAATTTTTAGAAGTAATGATGCTGCTCTTGGAAAGGTTAAAAGACAACCCATAAAATTCTTTGAATGCATTGAGAATCCTACTCAGACATTTAATATTATCAGAAGAACATTTCCCAAACACTAATAGGTTATTAACATAAATCAAGTGGGAAAGGTGAAAGTTGCCCATAGTGATAATAGAATAAGCTTAAGTAGCAATGGCAACATCAAAAGGATTGGAAAGGCCATCCATACAAATGCAAAAACAACAAGAGAGTAAATAAATGGAAGCCCTGTCTAAGCCCAGAAGAAAAGTTAAAAAAATCCCTCAAGGATTCCATTTAAGCAAATAGAAAAGTGAACATTATTTTATACAAGCTTTGACCCATCCAATGAATAATTAAGAAAACCCTTTCTAGATCATTCTCTACATTAGGAAATTTAGGGAAACAATATTGAAAAAGCTTTGAACATATGCAGCTTAACACAAAAGAAAGCTTCCTTATGGTTCCCTTTAATCTCAAAAAGAGCCTCTTTAGCCAAAAGAATGTTGTCAATGGAATTTAAAAGGTTTGTTCGAGGAATTTAAAAGGTTTTTATAATAGAGGGAGATGGCTTCAGCAATACTAGGCTGATCACTAAAAGTGCCAGCTATAGTAGAAATTTTCCTAATGCAATTGATTTTTCCTACCTTTGATTCTGCCATAAAGAAACTTTAGGTCATCCTCATCTTTTTCATGCCAATTAGTTTTGGCCCTCTAAGAGATCCAAGAACCCCAAGCAGAGTAAGCATTAGATAGATTTTCATTTAAGTGAAGGAGGGTTGAAAGGGTCACAGTTGAGAAGAGAATAACATTTGCATTGTTCACTTTACAGTCTAGAAATATAGGAAGAAATGGAGGTGGAAGATGACAAGTTAGAAGCTTTAATGGCTTTTTTGAGTTAATGGAGCTTTTCATAAATTCATGTAGTTAGGGAAGAGCTTCTCTATGTCCACAAAACATTTTAAAATACTTTGATAAATGGATTGACTACAAAAATTTATTAAAGACATAAATGTTTGCACTATGAATTCATTAATAAAATTTCTTTTAAAAATATTAAATGATATAATTTCATAGTAAAAATTTAAGTTCATCTTGTTAAAAAAAGGACCAAAAGTTTGAGAATATATTAAAAAACAAGTAAGAAAAATGACTGAAATTTAAAGAAATGGAGTGCTTAACAAACATATCGACATTTTTTGGAGGGATCTTCGTTGATATTTCAACATCACAACGTCGAAGTAAACTACTCATTTGAAGCAAAGTTGTGTGGAAAGATAAACTCTTTGAAAAAAAAATCGCTGGAACTCCGTCAAAGAATATTTACCCTTTGTTAAGAGATGGAATTAGGTAAGGAAGGGTAAGGAGGTGTGAGATTTTCCCTAGCCCATAGAGCATATTTATAGTTGAAAGGAGAAAAGATTTTTTTTTTTTTCAATTTTCAAAAAAAAAAGAGCCTCTTTTGCTAAATATATGGTAATTTTCTCTAGTTTCAACCATTTTTTATGTGTTTTGTTTGGGCTTAGTTGAATTTAGGTTGGATCACCTTTAGTTGTGTTGGATTTGTCTTATCAAGATGTTTAGTTCGACTATAATTTCCTGAAATCAGAAATGAAATATTCTTGTTTTAACAACCACACATAAAGGGACATAGGGAAGAAAGAGAGAGAGAGATTATGAGAAAAATGAATAAAAAGAACATGAGAAAAGATGTATTTTAAAGTTGGTTAAGAGGAATTGCTATATATTATGGGTATGGAGAAAATGGTACTAACCTACCTACTTTGATGTGTTGATATGGGACATGCCTATTATTAAAAATATATGACAAAAATATGCATTGAACACATAATCATAATATTATATTTCAAATTTTAAAAGAATTATATAATAATTATTCAAATTAAATAAATTCATTAAATAACAATTTTTGTTCAATTGCTGGTAAAATTAAAACTATATTTAAATTAATAAAAGATTTAAAATTTAATTGAAGAAGTACTCATCACATGAATTGTATTTTAAGCAACAGAGGTTTGGCGGAGGAGGTCGAAAGGATCGTAGTCGGCAAGCAACGGAGGTCAGGCAGAGGGCTAATGGTGATGGCTGGACTGAGGTTCGACAAAGATGGTCTGGCAGAGGTCAAACAATGGTGATCGAGCTGCAAGGGTTCGCCGGCAATGGTAAATAGATGGAGCAGCTTTAAGATTCTCTAAGCCTCAGAGTTCTCTTGAATCTCTTGCTCATAATCCAAGTCTTCTCCAAAAGTCTCTCTCTCGCGCCATGAAGAGGGGATCTATTTATAGATTTTGATAGTGGCCGCATGTCCCATAAATATGGAGAAGAGCATGGGTAAATTCTGAGTGTTCCATTGGATGGCTTATACGGCTTCCCTAGATCATGAAGCATTTGCCAAGCATTTAAGTGTCATAATGATGTCGGAATTAAGCAATCTTGGGCTTGTTGGATTTGTTTCGTCGAGCCGCTCAATTTAACTATAAGCATGTGATATTTGAATATTATTTGATTATCCAATTAATGGTTTGAAGTTTCTGAATATATTTTGATCGTTTGATTTACGCCAATTTGGGCTCGAATTGGACTGATTTTAGTGTCGTTGGGATCGTTTTGTCGAGTTGTTCAGTTTAATGACAAGTTTGCCGAAATTAGAGTTTGGATAACCCCAAATTTAATATTAAAAGTTTCTAACTTGACATGCCTCAAAATTCGTACTCAATCAAAATAATTTTTTGATGACATATCAATAATGTAGGATGTTTCTCATTGTCTAAAGTAAAATTTAATACATAATTATTGTAGATTGCGATGATTAAAACTTTACTTTAATATATCATTCATCTCTCATATAACTTAACGTATATGTAAAGCAAAATTAACCCTTTCTTATGAGAAAATAAGTCAATGTCTCTCTAAACTGGTTTTTTTATGTGGTTTTGAACATTGCGGAAGACATGACTACAGATGTAGTGTTCCATTTCTCTACGATATATTGAAAGAGAGATTGAAGATTGGCCAAAAACTCTAGCTGCCATAATGGCGGAGAGCAAAAACCTTTGAAGTAACTTATTGTCATTAAAAGAAATGATGCATATCAATTTGCTTAGAGTGTGCTTTTTTTTTTTTTTTTATCAAACAGCAATCTATTAATATCAAAAAAATAACAAGGTTACAACAAAAGAAAGCAGGGAAAGAAAAAAAGAGAAAAAATACAATAAAACGCGGGCTCAGTAAGTGGTTGAGGCTTCCAGCACCACAGAACTTCACAAGGACCGTCCAAAAGGTGGAGAAAGCGACCAACACGAACCAATCCGAAAGAGCCACAGCAATGGTTGCCACCAGCGAGGATCAATGATGCTTAGTGTGTGCTTTATGTGTGAAAATGTTTGTATTTTTGTATTAATATGCATATAAATTTGATATGGATGGCAGATATGATGCTGAAACTTGAATTTTGGCATTATTTTTAGTTTAAAAAATTTAAAAAAAGAAAGTTATTGGAGAATTCATTAATTCATTTGGAATAGCTTTCTCACTATTTTATAAAGTGGCTTTTTAGTAATTTATTTGACTTCTAATTATTCAATGGTAAATGATAATTTCCATACTCTATATATTGTATGTAGGGGTGTTAATATTTGACATCACACGAAAACCTGACTCGAATCCGACCCAAAAATTTCGGTTAGACCCGACCCGATTTCAAAATGGGTCGGGTTCGGGTTGACCCGTCAGGTTTCAGGGGTCAAACCAGAAACCCTTTTGAAAAGAGCTAACTACGTTGCCCGAGCATGCCCGCCTGCCTACTCGCGGCTGCCCGCGGTAGCCCGCACCTACCCGCGTTGAGCAAGAAGCTACCCGCGGCTGCCCACGCCTGTCAGCACCCGCTCGAGCCTGCCCAGTGGCACTCACTTCCGCGCCCGCCCTCCGTCATAGCCCTCGGGTCAACTGTGTCGGGTCGGGTCAACCCGGTAACACGACGAGTCAGGTCTGGGTATGGATTTTTGACCCGTTTATATAACCGGGTCAGGTTATGATCAACCCGTTTGAACGCGGGTCAGTTCTGGGTTTGACCTGAACCCGACCCAAAATCCGATTTTGACACCCCTAATTGTATGTGTTGAAGTTGCATATAATTAGCCTATGATCATGTGTAATTAATTCTTAAGTCACTATGTATGTAAAAGGAACATATGCTAGTGCTTGATTTTCTGCTAGGTTTTATGCTCAACACTATGTGCACTCTCATATGTTGCTTTCAAACATACATACGCACATAAGCTAGCTGGTAATCAGATCTTAACAAGAGTGGTAGATCCTAAAGTAAGAAGCATTCAACAAGCTTGATCGATCTCCTTGGTCTTCAATTCAATATATACTTCAAATTAAATTAAGTGTCACTTTATATACCATACCTTCAAATAATCAACTTGTGATGGAAAGCCATTTAATGTTCTATTTAAAACCCTTTGAATGCTGCTCCAAGAATCACATAAATATTGCAAACAAATTAGAAGCACTCTATGTCCTTTAGGTGTTGGCCAAACCTTCGAAGGCTTAAATTAATTGATATTGTATTTCCTCAACTTGAATATATAAAGCATTAATGAATGAATATTGAACTGCTTTACTAGAGTCCTAGCAATGATAATAATAACAATAATAATTGAAAAAGAAGGATGATAAAAGGGACATTATAAGCAGATCGTTCAAAAAGAAAAGAAGGGAGATTAAGCTTTTTAGATTAACTCTGATTCAAAATCATTAGTGTGTGGACGACCTTAAAATGAAGCAAGCAACTCATGCTTTTGGACACTTAATGATTAGGGATACTTACTGAATGAAAAGGTGTGGCATAATGAATTTAGATATAAACAATTAAATGGATATAGTAGAGGACATGCATGAGATATATACATATTTTAAAAAGATATAAGTATATATATTTGCTTGCTCATCAATTTATTGTTGGCCCTCCTGCCGCTTGTGGGAATGACTAGGTAACTCAACAGCGATCGGCTCTCTACCCAACAACTCTCTCTATAATACACTTACATTAGTATTCATAACTAAGTAAATTATTAAATTCTTTTGAAATTTCTTTCCAAATGTCGCTTGTTCTCAATGTGGAACTCATCCCCCGGTATGGAGAGAACTACCTATGCCACCAATATCAAAAGTTCGGTTCTATCTATTTTGGTCCCTCCATACACTCTCACCAATCCAGAGGGGTCTCTCGCCTGACTTCCTAATGTCTATAAACACATCTTGCATGCGAGTCAACCCGCACTTCACAAAATTCTTTCTAATTTTATCATTGTGCTCGGGCAACCAATAACAATCTTTATGCATACAAAAATATACGATATAGAATATTTTTTTAGTTTAATTAAAAAAGATATATAATATTTTTTAATAATAATTAATCTCAACCTAGCTCCCAGAAACACATGTTGCGCGCTTCTTTTGGGATTTTCTTTCAAAAGATATAAGGAGCGTCATAAATGCTTTGTATGATGTCCCATATTTTATGCGCCAGCTTCGACGGATGAAACATACACAAAATGTAATAGGTGAAAAAAACATTTATCAAATTAATAAGAATACATATTACGAATTCCCTAAGGCTAGAAAGTAAGAAATAATTGAATCCAATTAATGATTTTACTAGTACAGGGGAAATAAAAGCTTGTTCACCTTAGCCATTTGGCAGCTAATCTTGATCTGATGGTTGGAATTTGGCGCTTGTTCATCATAGCCATTTGGCAGTTCATATATGAATGTATGACAGACTACGTACCTAAATATATATTTTGCTTAAAGTGCGCTATTATGTTAAAGTCAGAAGCATTAACGCTTTATATTAAAAACCCAAGATAAATAACAAAAAGTTTGAAGCTTTTCCTCTTTTCTGTTTTTGCCTGATTATTTAAAGTTTTGTTGCACCTTTTAGCACATGTCTGTAACAAAAGCTTGTGCTTGTTAGCCTCAAGTTCAGCATACTAATAGCAAAGGGGCTAAATCTTCATCATTAATGTTAACGATTAGTCTTCCAAAGTAAATTAATTGAAGTGCTTATAACCTTTAAAACTAAGCAATTATATCTTAAAGCGGTTTACTTAATGTAATTATGTAAATAATTTTTTATATTTTTCTACCTGCAACCCGATCAGTATTGAAATAACCATCATTTCTCATGAGAGGAGATCCAAACAAATAAGAGAAGGAAGAGAACTCTCTTGCCATCAGACTCCTCTTCGACCACTATCGGACTTCCGCCCGGCCACTGAATAACTCCGGACTTCTACCCGACTGATGAATGACGCCAGACTTCTGCCTGACCGCTAACTAACGCCGGATTTCTGCCCGACCGTCAATTGAAGCCAATTTCAGCCCGACCACCAAACGTCGCCAAATTTTCAATTTCCGTTTGTGGCTGAATTTCAACCCGACGGTTGATTATTGTAATCTGATCGTCTTCAATTTCAGAAACGAGTTAGTTGTAATCTAATAAAACACTAGTTGAATCATTTCAACTGAGCGTGATCCTATGATTTTTCACTTTTCTAGGATTTTGCACGTAAAAATCCGATGCTCCTTTTTTCTTATGTTTATGTGCTGGATATCCATACAACACTGAGATAAAAATTTCTAACTCTATCACCACGTATATTCTACCCCCAACAATAATTAATTAGAGTTAAAAATATTTATGGCAGTTCAATTATATGTGCAAGTCTCCCTCTACAAATTCTCTTCTAAGACAAATAATATGCTAACGTAGAGAACTGAAACACCATATTAATTGATCTAACCATACAATCTTTATCCAATCAATTCACATCTCTTGCACGCTTTCCTACAATACCTTTAAAACAAAAAGAAGAGAATGAACATTCATTCTTTCTCAATTTGGATGCTATGGCAACTTTCTTTCTTTTCTTCTTCTCCATTTTCTTATCTTCCATGTCTCCTTCATTGTCTTCTTCTTCTTTTCCTCTCTTAATAGGCTCAGTCGATGAGTTCATGAACTATACGGCGATCTCAGACATGAGGGTTCTTAACAGGAGGATTTTGGCTGACTGTCTTGATCCGAATCCATATTTGTTTATCAATACGAGCACAGAAGGGCCATTGTATGATGAGACCTACGTTACAGTTACTGTGGGTGGAGTGTTGGTTCCTGATAAAGCTGATTGGATTGCCATGATCACGCCAGCAAATGCAAAGTATATTTTATTTTATTTTATTTTTATCATATTTTGAATTATTTTATTGAACATTTAAATTATGCTGGTTTATTTAAGTTGTTTCAATTTTTTTTTTTTTTAATTTTGAACTTTGTGCTACAGAATCTCTGATTGCCCTTTGAACAGTTTGCTTTATTTACAAACTGGAGATATTAGCAGTCTTCCTCTCCTTTGCCACTATCCTGTCAAGGTGAAGTATGTAAATAAATTACACTTAACGTTTTGTTTGGTTTCTTTTTTTTTTAAAGATTTACATATATATATCATATAATCTTTATATATTTATATATCTGTTATTTAAATTTTGATATTTATTTATATAATATTTTAATATATTAATCACATAAAAAATATATATATAAATATATTTTAACATAAAATAGTTAATATTTATAGTATTTTCTTATGCCGTTTAAAATTTTGAGCATTATATATCATTAATATTTTAAGGAGTTTAAATAGAATTATTATTATATATATATATATATATATATTTGTTACAAATAAATAAATACATTCTAGAAAACCAACAATTAATTAATTACACTAATAAGATTGCATGGTAGAGTTTTTGGTGTAATTATGTCACATCTTGCTCATCCCATTGCTTTTCTTGGAAGCAACTTGATGGAGAATATTTAGGGGATATTCTTCAATTAATAGCTGCAAGATAACAAAAAGAAGCTCACCTCTTATTTATTGGGAATTGACAAATCTCAATAGAAAGATTATATATAAAACCTAATTAAAGCCATCTTTTAAGAAGAGATTTTTTTTCTTAGCATAATTGATATTTTTTGTACAAATTAATATTTCTTTTCACTATTGTTTAATATTAGCATAATTATAGTATTATTATAGAATAAAAATAAGCAAAATAATAAATAAATACATAAAGAACTACAATAATTACCTGATGATCACTCTCTTACAATAGTGTACATGTTTGCATAAAATAATAATAATAATAATTAGCTTATCATATCACAATGTAGAGTTCATCCACCTTGAGTTCAATATCTGATCACTTTTGCCTTGGATATGTTCTGCATATGAAGAATTTACATCAACAATAATCTCAAATTAAAACAAGTTCAATAATTTTTAGAACTATTCTGACACAGTTTGTGATCAATGCACAGGCACAATATGTGAGCAGTGATCCTTCTTACTTAAACTGCAGCAAGAGGAAATGTGAAGTATATGAGAATAATGATTGTTTGGTGCACAGTTGCAGTGCATCAGTTACATTTCATGTTGTCAATTTCAGAACAGATTTAGAGTTTGTGTTCTTCACTGGAGGCTTTGATGCTCCTTGCATTCTGAAGAGATCAGATCCTTTAAGTTTTGCTAATCCCAAACAACCTTTGTATGGCCACCTCTCAAGCACTGACTCTACTGCAACATCGGTATTTCTTCCTTCTTTATTCTTTCTTTATTTATGTCGAGCTAGATATATAGGAAGATAATTTATATTTCTTATTGATTAAGCATTTATTAATTTATTTTAGTTGCTTTAGATGAGATTAACTTGGGTTAGTGGAGATGAGAACAAACAAGTAGTACAGTATGCAGAAGGGAGATCATCAACTTCTCAGGTGTCAACCTTCACACAAGATGATATGTGTAGTAAGTTGCCTTACAAAAAATTACTACACCAAAATTAGTTATATGCTATTTTTGCTCTCTATAACACACAGTTAACAATAATATATTCAAAGAAAATTCGCAAAATTGACTAATATTTTTTCTTTATATACATTTTCTTGCTATTTCTTAAAGCGATTTTTTTTTTAATAAAATTTAATTTTTTTATCAAAAAACTGCTTTAAAAAACCGTTCCAAATGAAGCCTAAATCTAAACTTCTAATATGTTTATAAACTTTAAAGTTCTCCATTTCTGTAAACCCTAGCTAGAGATTCATGATATTGAGAGCTTTAAATGACATGTTGTATTCATTGATCGTAGATCTAATTAGAGGTTGGTCATCGTCGGATAATCGTCGCTGTCCCTTGGCCAACCACCCAGGTTGGTCTTTTGCACCAACCTGGATACATTCATTGATTAGAGATTTAGGCTTCGTTTGGGACGGCTTTCTTACTATTTTTTAAAGCTGCATTCTAGTACAAAAAATTTATTTTTTACTAAAAAGCTACTCTAATAAGAAGTAAGAAAGTCATCCCAAATGAAATCATAATGTTCTCCATTTATTCACTCAGCTCTTGATTATATTTTAATAGGTGGTATATTGCCTAGCCCAGCAAAGGATTTTGGATGGCACGAACCTGGATATGTTCATACTGCTATAATGAGTGGGCTTCTACCAAAGCAGACCTACTCCTACAGATATGGAAGGTAAAAATTTATTTACTTGGCAATATCTCTTTGATTAAAAAAATTATGTCTGAATTAAATTACACATGACATGAACTACATTGAATTTTTTTTTTTTTTTTGCATGACATGAGGACAATAAAATATTCATTTGATTTCTTTATAATAAAAACATTCGGCATCAATTTTCTTTCTGCTTAATTTTCAGCATATTATAGTACTTAATTATAAACATTAGGCCATTTTATATATTAACTGTGAATTAAAAAGGTGAAAAATCTAACATACTTAGATCTCACAGTGATTCAGCTGGCTGGAGTGACCAAATTAAATTCAAGACACCACCAGCAACAGGGTCAGATGAACTGAAGTTTCTTGCATATGGTGATATGGGCAAAGCTCCACTTGATCCATCTAAGGAGCATTATATTCAGGTCAATTCACTAGATGTTTTTATATATTATCCAAGGCTTTGTTTTTTACGTCTTTCTTACTGTTTCTTAAAGTAGCTTTTTAGTACAAAAATTAAACTTTTTAAACAAAAAATCTACTTTAAAAAACAGGAAAAAAGCCGTCCCAAGCAAACCATAAATTTTCACATAGAAAAATATTTTTATTGAAAAAGTATTTGTATAAAGTTATATACAACACAGATAAGTGAAGTTATTTTTGTTTACTGATAACTAATTTTGTATTTTTTTTTTTTGAAAAAATGTTTTAAATGAAAATTAAAATAAATTTATGATGAATATGTGAACTTTGGTGTGCTTCTTTCTATAGCCTGGTTCCATATCTGTGGTGGAAGCTGTGACAAATGAGGTTGCATCTGGCAATGTGGATTCAATTTTTCATATTGGAGATATAAGCTATGCTACTGGTTTTTTGGTTGAATGGGATTTCTTCCTAAGTTTTATTGAACCTCTAGCATCCCATGTGGCTTACATGACAGCCATAGGCAACCATGAGAGGTTAGTACTTAATTAGTGATTTTCTTTTTAATTAATTTTTATATTTATATTTCAAAGCATAAATAGAATCTCATATATATAGTTTAAATTAAATATTATTATTTTTAGATTTTAATACAACTTATTGTGCTTTTTTTCTATACTTTTCATATATGATTATTTTTGGTGCCTCTCTTTCTTTTTCTTTTTTTCATGTAATAGATTGAATCAATGGCTCATAAGTTTTGTTTTAAATTTTGTATTTTTACAGAGCTTATGATTCATTAAGGACTATAATAAATTTTCTATTTGAATTAACGCGTAAGTCCCTATGTATTTTTTATCCAAAAAAAAAAATCCTATATATATTATTGAAAATTTTGGTTTTATAGACTCATAATTTCCAACATTTAAGAATTATGCATGCTATTTAATTTCTCAGGAAAAAAAGCGAAAAAGTTTATCTCAAAGAATAATTGCGCTAAAAGGGACAAGCCCAAGGACTTGCTAAGAGAAGCAAATGAAATTATAAGTTTGATATTTTCAAGAAATGAGCAATAATATGAGTAGGGTTCGAACGCATGACTCATAAATGAGTGCTGGGCCATAAACCACTAAGCCAATGCTGGATTCATCTATAATACAGTGTTAATTTTAGAAGCCAAAGCACCTTAAGTAATTAAGGTTTTGTTTGATACAGCTTCTTAAAGCAGCTTTTTAGTATTTTTGTACTAAAAAGCTATTTTAAGAAACAGTAATAAAGCCATTTCAAACGAAGCCTAAATCACCTAAACGTTTTTATAATTGAGTTTATTTTCCATTCAACCTCTAAAACTACTCATCATAGATATTCTAAAAATGTTCTTAATTATACTTAAATTGATGAGCAACTTTTTCTCACTTATTAAGAGATTATGAAGGGTCTGGCTCAGTCTATATCACTCCAGATTCTGGTGGTGAATGTGGAGTTGCATATGAGACATACTTTCCAATGCCTGCAATGGGAAAAGATAAGCCATGGTATTCTATTGAACAAGCAACTGTTCACTTCACAGTGATCTCTACTGAACATGAATGGAAAGTCAATTCTGAACAGGTAAATTTTCTTAAAAGAAATTTATTTGCATTATTTATTTATGATATACTCAAATTAATTAATAGTTCTGGAAACTATTTCTTGACAGTATAACTGGATCAACGAGGACTTGGCATCAATTGATAGAAGAAGAACACCTTGGTCAATCTTTTTGGGGTATATATGCTTCTCTACAAGCTTATGATTATTCCTTTCATTTTCATTTTTATAGTAATTTACTTTATCAATATATATGCATCTAAATTATATAAAACATCTGTGTTTTAAATTATCTTATTATGCTTTCTGTTGTTCTCTAATTTAATAGTAACAGATACCTGATATTATTCTTCTCTTTTCTGAAAAATTATAAGTCTAAATTCCTTAATGTTTTTTGAAGCAGCTTTTCAAAAAGTCGTTTTATAAAGTAATAATAAAGCTGTCCAAATAAGCTCAAAACTAATTTATTAAAATTTAACAAAGTGATGATTTTTATTTTAAAAATAAGTTTTTTTAATATATAGTTTTGAGATGTTTACATTTCCTTAACTTGAATGAATAGCTTACATTTGCAGGCATAGACCGATGTATTCTTCTTCTGAAAGCTCCATACTACCAAATGTGGATGATGGATTTGTTAAGTCAATCGAGCCACTTTTAATGAAAAATAAGGTACTTAATGTTATACGTGCTAATATGAGGGCCATATCGATCAAATTAACAACATTATAACTTCCTAATATTTGGCCTAAAAAATACAAATCTTATACGTTCTAACTTCATCTCTGTTTTATTTCTTGATAATCAGGTAGATTTGGTTTTCTTTGGCCATGTTCATAACTATGAGAGAACTTGTGCAGTATATCAGAAGACATGCGAAGGATTACCAACAAAGATTAATGGAATTGACACCTATAATAATAGCAATTACACTGCTCCAGTTCATGCTGTTATAGGAATGGGAGGCTTTACCTTGGATAAATTTTCTGATGATGTAAGCTCCTTTCTCTTCAATTATCCAAAAGTAAAACAATAGTTACAATACATTGCCTGTAAAACTATTAAGTTAATCTGTAATTTTATGTAAAAAAACTTAAATTAGAATGTTAGAAATTAAATTGAACATTCACTACATGAAACATGTTCATTATTGACGGAATTTCTAGCGAAAAATCTGCCTGAAATTCTGGAGGATTTTCCAATGGATTTCCGATGTAACATTTCAATGGTTTCCGATAGACTTCCCACGGATTTCCAGCATATTTTTTATAAAATATTTTAGGCAATCACAGTGCATGCCAATAAGAGTGGACAGGCCTTGGATGGGGTGTGGCAACTGGCGCAGGCGGGCCTGGAGTAATGGTAGGGCCGACTGCAGCCGGTTGGCGCGCCGTAATATTCTTCTTATTTTTGCAATAAATTTTTTTTTCTGGTGGCACATTTTTGCCGATAAAAATTTCCGCAGGATTTTTCCTCCGATTTTTATTTTTCTTATGCTACTCTTATAAGCAAAAAATTTTCAGTCGGAAATCCACCAGAAATCTATTTTTCCAACAAAAAATTATCGATTTCCGCTGGAAAAAATTCACCAAAAATCGAACTTTTTCCTATAGTGATTGTGTTAAGATATTTGACGATGTGCTTAATTAAAAATCATTAGATTTACTTTGAGATTAATGATATGTGTGAAGAATTTGTATCATACTAATTTTAAAACAACTTTAATGATTTTTAAGATATATATAATAAAGATTGGGGTATGTTTTTTTTTTTTTTTAATATTGAAAAAATCTAGAAAAGTTGTCTTAACTAATTTGCTTACAAAAGCTTTTATTTTTTTTATTTTAAATTTGAATGCAGGCTGCTGAATGGAGTATAGTTAGGATTTCTGAATTTGGTTACGTAAGAGTGCATGCAACATCACAGAAAATAACAGTTGAGGTTTGTATCACCTCTCATTCATTCATCTCTTGCATTATATCACTATTTTTTTTTTGAAATCATAGATCAATAGTCTTCTCTCAATTTCTTGATGGCAAGCATAAAATATCATCACTATCCATTTTTTCAATGACAACTACCTTAAACCGTCGCCATAAATAAGTTCTCAAATATTTAAAGTAAATGAATTTTGAAGAATTTCTTGGTGGCTCCGTCACATGCGCCACAAAATATGTTGCCAATTCCAAAGATCTTCCTCTCCCAAATTCTCATCATATAACTTGGGTTCCGATGGACTAAAATCTTGTGGCCGCCCTTTATGCCACATCACTGTCATGTTTCCTTTCGCACTTGCATCTTTTTTCTCTCTTGCTCTCTCATTATCTCTCTTCACTCTTACATTGTTCTCTTGCAAGAATAAACAAAAAGAAAACTCACATTAACTACCAAGGGACAGTCGTCATGAAAAATGAGAAAAAGAACTGTCAACCCATCTAGCAGCATCGTGATGCAAGATATTGAGCACTATGGTGCTAAACTATACAAACTATATATATAACGCCGCACCGCGGGTACACAGTATCATAGTGCTGTACATTTGCACGGAAAAAAATTTCGGATTCAAAGCACCTGATCCCAAGCAAGAGGGTTCAATAATCAATGCATGTGTTTTTCATGGGCTTATTCGAGAAGACAAAGTGAAGCTCTTGATTGGTTTCACCTCTGCTTTACCATCAAAGGACATTACTTAAACTATTCTCCAAACTCTTCATGTTGGTTTAAAGGATTGTATTAATCTTAATTGTGTTAATCTTTGGATTGAGACTGATTTTGAGAAATTGCTAGAGTTTACAGTTCATGACAATATGGTGAACCATAACATCTTTTATGTGCTCCAAAATACTAAAATCCAGCTTGGCAAATTTGACTATAAGCTATCTACTATTAATAAAGTTGTGAATGGTTGTGTTGCCTGCCTAGCGAATATTTCTGCATCTTCAAGCTATGATTTAAGTTCTTACACTCTGGCCAATATGCCTAAGTTACTAAAAGGTAATATTATTCTGAATGCAGTTGAATATCCCTATATCTGCTAGTTGTGATTAGATTTTTCCTTTTCTTTGTTGATCATCTTTATGTTAGTCTCGTTGAATTGATGTATCCTTTTTTTCTTTGGTTATGTTGTTGGTTGCTACTTTGGCCTTGTTTGGGCTCACGGTTTCTTTTTTTTGCTATACTTGTTTGCTGTTATATTGATTTATTATATGTTTTTATGTTTTGTTGGCTGCTTCTTTTTGTGCAATTTTTTTGTTAATTGTAGAGATCGTTGGTCATTCTTGATATATCATATATTCAATCTCAATTTTTTGGTGACGGTTTCTGGCCTCCCTAGTTTAGCTTCTTTCTTTAATCTCTTGTTTTTGAATTGCAATTAGTTGGGATCAAGTGTTCTTAGGTATTATTTTCTCTTTATCACTATAGCTCTTTTTTGAGCAATAACGAGCATTTGATCCCTTTTAAGCTCTTATATTTTTGTCCTTTAATTAATGTGTATGCCCCTTCGTAGGTTACCCACCCAAGATCTTGTATACAAACCTTTAGCTAGAATTTATACACTCTAATGTGTAGGTCCCTACTCGGTTATTTCCACTCAATTTTATAAATAATGTGTATGATTTATTGATGAATTTTCATATAATTGTTGGATTTTTTTTCTTTATTTTCTAAATCTAAAGCTGCTAAAAAATTTATTCTGTCAAAATAAAGTTAAAAATTAAGTCGGCGCCTACTAAAGTTTTTTTTTTTTTTGAAACCCATAGTGGATTTACATGTTAATATTAAAAAAAAGAGTTACATGTCCTAAAAGGGATCCAAAACTCGTTAAATGCTCCAAGAGCTACTTTTCACCTTGTTGACCCGGGCTTGTTGGCAACCTTGGTGGTTTGCCCTTTGCTGGGTGGTTGCCTGTGGGGGTTCTTGGCTGATGCCGTTATTAAGTGGTTGCCCCAAAGGATGGTCCGTGACTGACTGCGAGGTGATTGCAGTGGGCTGCCATTCCTAAGTCCACTCTTGGATCCTTCTCCTACAGCTTTGTGTGTCAGTTTTATTGAGTTTGTCTTCGTGTAGTGTTATATGATGTTTTGTCGACTAAGCTATTTATGGGCTTGTGTTGTACTCTTCTTATCCTTTGTGGAATAAATTTATTTTAAAAAAATAAAAGACTACAACAAAAAGAAGAGAAAACCTGCTAGCAGCAACGGATCCCTTTCTAATTACAATAGGAAAAGAAATGGAAATGGTATAAAATCATCCAACCTCCAAAAATTTAGCCAAAACTAGATTGGTCAATAAGCATGCATAGAATGATGAAACACCTGCAAAAACAGAAGACGAAAGAAGAAACATAAACCCTAAAGAAATTACTTGAAGAATAACATAATGAACATGCACTCTGAGAAACATAACCACTCTAAATTAATTTATTAATTAATTATTAAAAAATAAAAAATATAAAAAAAATATAAAAAATACCGTCCTCAAGCAAAGGAACTTTTATTTGGTCTGGTCACCTGACGTAGCTCTACGTTCGAACGCCAGTAAAATAGTGCCACGTGTTTTCACTATTTACCGCGCGGCCCGACAACCCCGACCTGGAACGGAGACGGGATTGCTATGTTCGCGTGTTGATAGGTATTGCTCGGTATTTGCTCGATATTGGTCGATTTTGCTTGGCAATAACGAGAAATATCATTATGTGAAGACCAATACCGAGCAATACCGAGTTTTTCTCGGTATTTCTCGGTATTGGTCTTCACATAGCGATATTTTTTATTATTTCCAAGGAATACCTAGCAATACCGAGTAATACCTAGAAATACCGAGCAATACCTAGAGCAATACCGAGCAATATGCGAACATAGCAATCACGGGTCAAGTCGTCGGACCGCGCGGTATTGAGTAAGACCACGTGGCGACAAGTTATTGACGTCCGAACGTAGATCTACGTCATGTCACCTGACCTAATATTTGTTCCTAGCCAAGGCACATCACACAAAAGCAAAGGACTTGCATAAAAACTAGACAGAACATTAATCATTACTTCATAAAATTGTATTCTCATTGATTGTGATAAAATTAGGAGAGACAAAACTTTCTTATTTTACGTAATTACATATACTTATAAATTTAATATTACAAAAGCCACCCTAAATTATTTCCGAATGTCGCCACAGCCCATAATTTTTGCAACAAATTGTCAAATACGATATGTGGCCAATTTGAAAATCAACACGCCACATAGACAGTGATAACATAGTTATATAGAGACAGATAATAAAATTATTTCAACGCCGCGCCGCCTAAGATGATCCCAAGCTAAGAAACTATACCTTCTAATTAATGCTTTGCAACTTATCCTCAAAGAAATTAACAAAGAAAATCAAAAGAAGTTTCATTCTTTGGTCATTTGGCCACGTCCACCTATACATTATGTTGTAGATTTCTACATCAAAAATATTGTCGACTTTCTATATCTTTGAACTTGAAAATCTTATTAGTTGATTTATGAGAACATGAAAGTTGCATCCAATTGTGAATCTTAAAGAATTGTGAATAAAAATTCACAAAGGGAGCTTAATTGATTGGTGAGCCTAAACAAGGAAAAATTATTATGTGCGGTCACCGGACGGTGTCCGGAAGCAAGTCAGAACACACCACGTCACTTTTTTACTTTGTACTTGATGACATAGCACCTTTAATTCTCCATTTGCTGACCGCACAAAATAATTTCTCCTAAATAAGCCCCATAAGCCATGTCACCATAGACCCGATTGAGCAAAACATGCATCAATATTGATAGAGGGATTCAAAATTTTTATTATTAAATATTGAAATTAAATATATTTTATTCTATTCAAATAATTGAATTGGATGGCATCAATATTGATAGAGGGATTCAAAATTTTTATTATTAAATATTGAAATTAAATATATTTTATTATATTCAAATAATTGAATTGGAGTGACTATTTATGATAATCAGGAAAAAAAACTTACTGCAAGAAAAAATTGAAAATACTTGGGTTATTCAAAATAACTGGGCAAATATAGAATGCGACTTAAAAAATTTAAAAAAAAAAAAAGATTTTTTTCTTCTTTCTCACTCACCCTCCTAAAATAAATTATCAAAAATGATTACAAATCTTTAAAGGGATTGAAAGCTACTAATACTCGAAGAGGTATAGCTCCAAAAGAAATATAAAAACAAAAAAAAAAAAATCAAATAGAAGTTAGACTAACCCAAACCAACCTACAACCAAATGAAGAACATCACAACAATAAATAAAAAGGATGATAGAACGAAACTATAGGACGAGACTGAAGAATCAGCCTCAGAAAAATACACTCAAATGCCTACACCAGAAGGGTAAAACAGATCGAATATAATAAAAACCATGCCAGCAAGGGGAAGAAATATGCCAGTCACAACTGAGCAAATATAGAAGAATTAATTTCTTCTCAAATAAGGCACACCCAACATATCAATCTTAATGAAACCATTAAGAAGCCCAAGGTTAGAATCATTGTTAACATAGACGCAATCAAAAGAATTAACACCCATTTTAGCAAGCCAATCCGCACATGCACCATTTTCAAGACAGATATGCATAATTCTAAAATTGACATTGTTCAGTAAAATGTTAATCTTGCTAAAAAAGATACAATAAACTAGCATTATGAAAATGGCGAGAAATAACATAAGAAACCAACATTTTGGAGTCAGATTTAATCTAAACATTATAAATGCTACTCAAATTATCAAAAACCTTATTACTACCACTCAATTTATGACTCATATTGATGTTATATGGTAGAGGTACGAGCTCAATTTAGTATTAGGAAAGAATGCTACCAAGAAATAAGGTGCAAATATGTCATTTGATCTATATTTGTGTAGACCTTGCCCTAGCCATCAGGCTCGAAGGCCCACACATGATCCTCGATGGATTCCATCCTTTCCTGCAGTCCCGCTCACGCTAACGATTTACGCTCGCGGGTCGGATCAGGGCAACCCGGTAACCCGGAAGTTTTATTCAAGGTTAACATTTTTGACACGTTTGCAAAATCGGGTTGGGTTCCACTAGATATATTAGACCCAGATCAATTATGGGTTCGATCCGAACCCGACCCGATTTTATCTGGCAAATAATTCTCTACTTTCTCACACTACCCATCACTAAATCTCCTTAGAAGGCTTTGAAAAAAAAATAATAAAAGCTCCAAAAAGACCTATAAGAAAGCTTGAAGTCCCCCAAAACTCCAGAAAAGCCCGCAAAATGGGCATAGATGCTACGTCTAGGCGCCCAAGCCTCTTTATCCTTATTTTTTGGCTAAAAAATTTCAATTATATGCACCAATTCTTAGGACTAAGCATCTGACTCTCTATTAGAACTCTAAAATTTACTATTTTGAATGTTAGGGTGTCAGTACTTGGCACGACTTAGGCCCCATAACAGGGGCCTGAGTACCAAAGACTAGGCTTCAAATTGGGGTCTTAGCTCCGGGACAATCCAAATCATCTCTAACAAGCACTATTTTTTGCTCCCATGATAATTAAATTCACTTTTCATGTCATGAAAATGAAATGTAGAAGAATGTGTTCACATACATCAACAAATATATTTAAATCATCATAGCCGACTTCTCAATCCTTTGCATAAATAACATAAAAAAAATAAAATAAAAAAATTATTCGTTAAAAAAACTACTAGAATGCCACCTATTAAGTTGACTTTAAAGCATACCAACAAGCATATTCTAGAACACAAGAATGATAATGGTACAAATAATAAAAAGAAGAAAATATTCATTTTCCCTCTTACAAGAATAATAGTCTATAATATATATAGAATCAAAAATAATTATTCAATTACATACCATACAAAACTATTTATTACAAAATTCATATATGCAATCTAGAAATTTTTTCCCAGTTGATTATTCTGAAAGCCAACATTATTTGACTCAAATTTCTTCTCAAAAACTAAGTAAGACTAAATAACAAAACTGTAAATCATATAAGTCAAATACTTTATTAATTCAACTTTGAAGGAGAAGCCACACTCCTTGACAAAGTCCTTTAATTTTGTCGGTTGAATGGTGTTGCATGGCTAATTAATATAGTAATCAAGTCAAATCAAATACCGTTGAAAACCTCTAGAATGGATTAGGCTTCGTATTAATCAATTTAAGAGAAAAAATTAGATCAGTCGTTCGCAAATATCTCGTGTTCGATTCAATAGAAAGCTCATATTTGATTATTTTAATATCATTATAATGTTTCAATAATCAATCAATTTTTATGCATTATTATATCAAGTATGTACGGTGTCAAATTATAAAGGGCTCAAGAAATTATTGTAATTCATAATTATATATTAGAGGAAAAATTATTCACATAAAATCTTGTTGGATATGACAAATATATATATATATATATATATACTTTTATAATAAACTCTCTGAATATTTATATGCAGGCCCAATATTTGAGCAATGATCCATCTTACCTGAACTGCAATAAGCAAGAATGCAAGCTATATGGAGAAGACAATAACTGCTCGATACAAACCTGCAGTGGCTCTGTAACATTCCATTTTGTAAATATTAGAACTGAGTTGGAGTTTGTGTTCTTCACCGGTGGTTTTGATACCCCTTGCATACTCAAAAGATCACAGCCAATTGGCTTTGCAAACCCTAATCAACCCTTATATGGTCATCTTTCCAGTGTTGATTCAACTGGAACAACTGTACGTTTTCTGTATACATTTTCTGTATATATATATAGTTTTACTTAGTATGTTTATATAATTAACTTTATTTTCATGAACAGATGAAGTTAACTTGGGTTAGTGGAGATGGAAAACCCCAACAGGTTCAATATGCAGATGGGAATTCAGCAACCTCTGTGGTTACTACATTTAAACCACATGATATGTGCAGTGAGCTTCCTTCACTTTCTCTTTTATATATATCAGTCATTTATATAGCTATTCTTTAAAATCCTTTAGAGTTTCATGTTATCTTAGTATTTTTACATAAATTTGTAGGAGTAATTGTTGGATCTTTCATTAATCTTCTTTTGATCAGGTGACCTAAGTCCAGCCAAAGATTTTGGATGGCATGATCCAGGATATATCCATTCAGCCATAATCTCTGGACTCCAACCTTCCTCTTCATACTTCTACAAATATGGAAGGTAACACTATTAATTGAAATCATTTATAGTATATTTTTTTTTTCAGGAGAAACGTACAATGAGGCCTACACGTTGATTAAAATAAAGATTATAAGGTCCTTAAAAGAAAAAAATTATTTTGTGCGGACACCGAATGACGTCCAGAGACCAATAAAACTGCACCATGTCTTCCTTTTAATGTACCGCGGCTCGGTATTGCTCTGTATTCAGTATCGCTACCGACGCTCGGTGTCATGGCATCCAGACGTAGAGTTGCATATGTCATCCGCACAAAATAATTTCTCCCTTAAAAGAGACATCGAGCTCACTACTGCTCTCGCAAGAGCTACAAGAAAGTTTAGTATAAAATTTCTTGTGTTTTATATCTCTAAAAACAACTAGCTAGACAAGAGAATTTTATTTTGTTTTAATTATTATTATTTTTATTATCATATAATAACCTTGAAATCCTTATTTATTTATTTTTTTAATCAACTATAGTGACTCTGTTGGATGGAGTAAAGATATAAAATTCTCAACACCCCCAGCAGCTGGAGCAAGTGAAACTACATTTTTGGCATATGGTGATATGGGAAAAGCTCCTATAGATCAATCAGTTGAACACTACATTCAGGTATGAATGTTATTATGTATGTTAATTTAATGTTATATACACTTTTAATACTCAAAATTCTATGTAAATTAAAAATAATTAACACTGGTGTAATATAAATGGAGAAAAAATGATTCATATAGCCGACTCCATATAGTAAGATGAAAACTTTTTTTTTAGTGAGATAAAAACTTGTTGTCATTGTTGTTGTTCTTGTATCATTAACTTAACATATATGAAAGAACCATTTTCTCGAACTATAATAACAAATTGACATGGTTAATCTATAATGCTTAGGGCTCTTTAAACTTTGGATGTATAACTTCTTCACATGTTCCATACTAATTTTTTTTGCGATAATGATCAAATTTAAAGATCAAGTGCAAGACTAATGATGTTAATTTATGAAATACAGCCAGGATCAAGATCTGTAGTTGAAGCTCTGACTGATGAAGTAGCAGCTGGTAATATTGATTCAATTTTACATATTGGAGACATAAGTTATGCAACTGGATTTTTGGTCGAGTGGGATTTCTTCCTTAATCTTATTACACCTGTTGCTGGTCAACTTTCCTACATGACAGCCATTGGTAATCATGAAAGGTAAATTTAAATGCATATACAATTTAATCTTACTATTATAGCATATTATATATGAATATGTTATTAATTTATCAGATAATAAACTTTTACAATAAATATATAATGTTTTCACATAAAATGATGAGGGAGTATATGCATTGTAGGGACTATCCAGACTCTGGATCTGTATATGTAACACCAGACTCTGGTGGAGAGTGTGGTGTTGCTTATGAGAGCTATTTTCAAATGCCAACAAGTGCAAAGGATAAGCCATGGTACTCTTTTGAACAAGCTACTGTTCACTTCACAGTTATATCTACAGAACATGATTGGAGTCAGAATTCTGAACAGGTAAATATATAGATATATACATATTTTCTTTTGCTGATTAGCTAGGCAAGCAGTTTTGAGTATGATAAAATACATGAAATGATGAACTTTTAATATTTTTGTAGTATAATTGGATTAAAAGCGATTTAGCATCTGTTGATCGAACGAGGACTCCTTGGCTGATTTTCACAGGGTAATTATTCAAATCTTGCAAAGTTATTATTTTGGTACGAGTAATGTTAGCTTATGATTCAATATGTTTTGCAATATTATTTTACAAATAATATATATAAATAGCAATTTTCTCTAATTTAAATATAAAAAATACAAGTTAAGTAATTTGTTTAGTGATTATATCAAATTCAAGTAGTAATAATTGGATGCTCAATTTTGAAAACCCATCAATATGATCCTCATTTCATTTTCCATCAATATTTTGGTCATTTAACATGAATTTACTGATAGTTTTTACCAAACAAACAATAGGCTACGTTTTGAAAAATTTAAATTTTGTCCCATAATTGCAATTTAAAAAAAAAATATAAGTACTAAGCAAAAAAAAAAAGTGAGCATATTTGTCATGTAAGCACAACATGCAACAATATTGAATTTAGATGGCTCCTTTATAAGCACAAAATCAAGCCTTTTCATTAATATATTGTAAATAATGTAACTTATCTATTTCTAATTATTACATTTTAAAGTTTTCTTTAATTTCTTTTGATTTATTTGGGATGACTTTCTTATTGCTTTATAAAGTAGCTTTCTAACAGTATAATTTTTTAGTTTAAAATTTTTTATATTAAAATATTGCTTTAGAAAGAAAGCAGTAAAAAAGTCATCTCAAATAAAGTCTTAATTGCATTTGACATGAAGATCGAGTTTTAAAGTTGTACTTTTAAAATTTGGTATTTTAATTATTATTTTTAATTATAATTTACAGGCACAGGCCAATGTATTCATCTCAAGATAGCATTCTTCCCAGTGTAGATTCAGATTTTGTGGAATCAGTTGAGCCACTCTTAATGGAAAATAAGGTAAGAACAAACATTAAATCTAAGTTCTATGTTCAACAATTTCATAATACAATTGTGTATGATAGATATCATTTAAATGTGATATCACTATGTGATTTTCTAAATCATAAAAAAATACACATTTATAATGAAATTGGATAATTTTTTTATTTATAGTGCTAATTTCTCTTTATTTTTTCCTGAATCTTATAGGTGGACTTAGCATTATTTGGTCATGTGCATAACTATGAAAGAACATGTGCAGTTTATAAAAATCAGTGTAAAGAAATGCCAATAAAAGACAGTAATGGAGTGGACAGTTATAATAACAATGGTAATTATACAGCTCCAGTTCATGTGGTCATTGGAATGGCAGGATTCACTCTTGATATCTTTCCAAGCCAAGTAAGTAACATCTTAGGTTATTAAATTGTAATATATGTTTTGCAAACTTGATAATATAAACCATCTTACAATTCTTAGGTTTTTGACTAAGGCTTCTTTTGGGACAAATTTCTTATTGCTTCTTAAATTAAAGCAGCTTTATAGCATAAAAAATTTATTTGTTTTACTAAAAAACTGCTTTGAGTAAGAAGCTGTCCCAAACGAAGCGAAGCTTAAGAGATTGTTTGAGACAGCTTTCTGGTGCTTTGTTTTGTAAACAGTAATCATAATTTCATTTAGCTATAATTTTCTTATTGCTTTCTCAATATTTTCCCAAAATTTTATGATGAAAAGTTGTTTTTTGTAACAAAAATATAGCTAAATTACTTTTCCACGTGTGTGATATTTATGCTACATTATTAATAGTGCGTTGAGCATAAATATTTTGTCTAGCTCCAACTAATAATGCTTTGCATTATGCCTAATCATAGGTTGACAATGTTTGGAGCTTGGAGAGGATTTCAGAATTTGGTTACACAAAAGTGCATGCAACAAAGGAAAAATTAAGCTTTGAGGTAAGCTTGTCAATATTCGATCTTCATTCAGTTGTCTGGGAATGTTATTTGAGTTATTTCGAGCCTAAGCGGGCGATTATATACGTAGCTCATGAGCTTGTCAAAATTTTAATTATTTTATATAATTTAATACTTAACATTTTAAATTAAAATGTATTTTAGAAATATTTTGTGTTAGGATTTAGCTCAAATTTAGCTCATTAGCACATTTGATAAATTCATGAATCATTTATAGAATCTTAGTACAAATTGATTTAAAACACTAATATATATATATATATATATATATATTTCATAATTGTTACATATAGGCTTCATTTGGGGCAATTTTTAACTACTATTTTTTGTTGTTTTAAAAAAAAAACTAGGAAACTATTATAGAAATAAATAAGAAAATTGTGACCTCGAACGAAGTCATCATAGAAAGTATGCAATAAATATGTAAATGTAAGAAAAAGAGTATGTAATTATGACATTCACCCATTCAATTTTCATAATTTACTTTCAATTTCTTCTATTTCTCTCTATTTTACTCTTCTATGCCTAATTCCTTTTCCTAACTGCAAAAAAAAAATTATAATATTTGAAGCTAATAATTTCTTGATGTTTCATTGGCAACAGTTTGTGAATTCAAAAACAAGGGAGGTGCGAGATAGCTTCTACATCACCAAAGAGACAAACTAGTTGTGTGGGTGAAGGAAATGTCAGCTTCATATTTTATATTTCTTGTACTATATGGTCATAGAAATAGTTGCATTAGAAATTTACTATGTAAAATGTGTACAACAAAGGATCTCATTCCATTATGATGGCATAGTTCAAGATCATTTTGTTTTGTAAATGTAATACAATATATTTTTTAGTAAATTAAATTTTAAATTGAAAATTACAGTGCAATTTCATCTCTATAAAACTAACATTTGCCAAGACATGCTCTAGTGTTGCCGAAATCAAGGTTTTATGATCCTTTTGAATGCCTTGAGGCTTGAGTTTTTTTTTTTTTTTTGGAAACCCATAGGACCTATGTGTTAATTAAGAAAAATTGTACACAAGTTTTTAAAGGGATCTCAAACTCGCTATTGATGCTTGAGTTGAATCTTCTTGTCTGGCTTCAGATTCATTGCCCTTCTTTTGAGTTATTTTTATTTATTAAGCCATACTTCTCTACAGTTGAATTTATAAAGTTAAGATTTTTTAGCCACCAGTGAATTTATATACTCTTATTTATAAATATATCCAATAGAATTGTTTCATATAATAATATAAAATATTTTGTTAAGAACATAATTGTTCATTATTGGTATGGTAATTAGTTTTGCCTATTATTTGATATCTTGATTTTTCTGAGCAATTAGGAGTTGTTTCAAGCAATCTTTGAGTACGAGTTTGAACATCATGAATAGAGATTTCAAGCGATTTACGAAATAAAAAACATCGAATAATATGGATGAAAATAAAAATAAGATTGAAGAGCAAATTAAAAATGTATTAGTGGATGTTGATTTATCAAAAAAAAAAAAATGAAATTAAGTGTGAAAAATCTTCTATTTGATTCAGGACTACGAATTCCTATTACTGACTTTAACCCTAATATTCGATATGAAGTTCAAAAAAATATATTTACAAAGAGACCCTCAATAAATTTTCTGTGACATTCAGAAAATTCAAATAGAACATGAATAGTTTACTCATTGAAGAAAGCGAGAGAAATGAGATGACACCCTAAATATCCTAATGTCCAACAAAAGTACAGTTATGCATTTAAAAGTGTAGAATTTTGCATAAATCGGTGCTTAAAAGAACTAATCCTTACAATTAGTATTTAGAACCTGATTTTCCAGAAAAGAGAAGAATGAGAATCTTCAACTGCATATCGCAGATAAGGCACAGCGCCCTCAAGTCTAATTTCATCAATCTTGTTCCTCAGCAAATGAATAAGCTCTTTATATCGTGATTGTTTCTTCTTAAGCACTCGCACGAAAGCAGATAAGCCGAGCCAAATAATTTCCATCTTCTTAAGTTTTAGGATTGCTTCTAAATTGAAGCGATTTTCCACGTTATGCATCCTCTTCTTTAGGAGTTTGTACATGTACCTAATCAAACGAGCCATCCTTGAACTATGAAATTGGAAAATAGAAATACTTGATCAAAGAAATAAGTCAATACTATTAAAAGCAAATAGCAAGAAACCAAATTGTTGTGCTCTATTCAAACATAAGCTTCATTTGGGACGTATTTTTGATGTTTCTTGAAGCAGCTTTTTAGTATAACAATTATAATTTTTGAACTAGAAAGCTGCTTCAAGAAGCAGTAAAAAAATCGTCCCATAATCATTATGACCATTCACTTTAACGCAACTACTTCAGTTGTTTATGATATTTTCTTTTATGCAGTACTCAGTCCCATTGCTTGCATTGGAGTATAGTGTACGGTATCCTATACTCAAATAAGTTTTCTGAGCAAAAAATAAAGTTATTTTTACATTGATCAATAGATCATTGACCTGAATTGATAATGTGAACGAACGTAAAGCCTTCTCGCCCTTCTCAATGGAGCCCCACAATATAAGTTTGCCGAAACTTAGGCGGACATGTCCACATTGAGTTGGGTAAGAACCTTTATATTCTAGTTTTACAAGGAAACTATTGAGTTCACTTCACCAAAATTCACTGTGATGTAAAGCAACTAATTATAATCAATTATCCCTATTCTATTATTTTCAAACATAATCATTATAACCATTCTCCTTATCCCAATTGGTTTGGGTTGCTTAATGAGTCATTCACCACAATAAATTATATCAATGTTATCTTTGCTCTAGCGTTTTCTTATCTTTCTGCAATAATTTTAACAACTCAGCTCATTGGTGTGTTTTCTACCAAGTATTGTATATGCCAAACTACTAAAGCCTATTTTCACATCTTCTCTTCAAAAAATGTCATCTCTAATCAATGATTCATGGGTTTCTCATATTCATTTTAACATTCTCAATATTTTTATGCTCAACTTGGCCATAAATGATTTCTTTAACTAATTTAAAAATTAATACAAAATACTTTGAATTGGTAATTGCAATAGTAAACAGACACGAATATGCAAAATGACTAAGCAGTGGAGGATATACCTGAAAGAGAACAAAATTTTGCCGAATATGTAACTAGGATTAAGTTTACTGATGCTTGGCATGAAACAGACAGAGCAGTGGAACTTCATTGCGCTGAGCAAAAAGGCTTGATAGGCATTCAATGCTACTGTTTTCAGAGAGTTTATGTTCGAATCATAAAGTAAGGGATAGCATTTAGGACGAATGTAATTACATAACTTTTTCTCCAGAGTACATCCAGGCTTAGCACTTGCTTGAATTGTAATAGTTGAACTAACATGAATACCCCAATACCTGCTTACCAACTTTGTCAGTAATACTGATTGCATTTCTTTGGATTTGAAGAAAAAAAAAAAAGTCTCTATGGCTGCATCTTATAAGCTACAATGATTTTTTTTTTGTTTCACTTCAGTATGAGAAGCAGTCTTCATGGTAAAAGAAAAAAATAATAGTAATAAAAATGAATTAGGTTCGGTAATGAATGTTATGGTATTCTCAGAAGAGCTCCGTATATGGTAAGAAATTCTTCCAAGGGATATGAACTGATTAATTCAATTATTATTTAAAAGTAAATGAAAGCATTACCTGGTATAATCTGCTTGGATTTCAAGATTTTCACAATTGATAAGCAAGCCACTCCAGGGAATAAATTGCATACCATCTGCTCCAGTATAAAACCTCATAGAGAGAGAACTCAGAGAAGGCTCTTCCATATCGAAATTGAGACCAAATTTTTCAAAATTCATATAGCAATTAAATGCTCGAAATCCTCGCCGCAATCGAGAGAAGAAACTAGCGGCCTGCTGTTTTGAGGTCGAAATGAAAAGAAAATCATCTACAAATCTCAACAATAGATTTTGCGGTTTGTCGATTTTAAATCCACTTGAGTAAGATACTGCCACAAGATTATTCGTGCACTGATTCCCTTCATCCGCACAATTTATATCAGATCCAGTCAAGTTGGATGCCATTGGTTTCCCAGACAAAAACACTTCAGTGCTATCGCTGTGACTCCATGCATTTTCTGACAATTGGCTCCCACAGTTCTCATTGGCTCCGTAATCTGGTTCTATGTTCTCGGTTCTTGAACTAATCTTATATGCTTTTTCAAGGAAGGGTAAAATGACCTCTCGCTCAAGATGCCCATAGTAAAACGAGCATAAAAGTGAAGATAATATACTTCCCTGGGAGATGCCAACTTCTTGTAAATAATAGTCATGGCCAATTTGTAATATGTTATGTTTCAGATGTTCAGCTAAAACACGATGCAACATCTGGTTACTGACTTCAACGCTAGTACCCTGGCAAAACAGAAATTAAGCTTCACGTTCAGAAATGTGCTATCCTCTAAAGGTCTTTTGCACTCCACGTAGAAAAATACCATTTTTTTCTCTTTTTGAATGGAACACAAGCGAATCATCCTCATTATAAGATATAGAAATCCTACTCATTAAAAATATATATAAACTATAAATAAGAATTTAAGATTAGAATACCAAACTGAAGAGAAAGGGAGACAAATATATTCAAATAGTTCTATTAAAAAGCTCAAAAAGTCACAAATTGAGAGTGAATCTCTTCCATATGCTTTTGATTCGAACCATCTTGCCTTCAGCATTGCAGATCCAAAAATATGCTTGATTAATAATTTCAAACCAAATGATCTTCTCATCATTTTTCCTATTTAAAAAACATCTATCTTTTCTATCACTCTAACTGGTACAGATGGAATAGAAGTGATATATCATCAAACAATTATCTTATCCGGGCACGAATCTCGAGATATAATTGAATTGAAATCTTTCGAAATTAAATCTGGGACTATCTGAACTTCGGTTTCAGCAAACTTACGGCCGAACTGAACGTCTAAAAAATATGAAGCCCAAACGACACCAAATTCGACTCAATCCGAGCCCAAATGGGTCCAAATTGAAAACCCAAAGCACATTTGGAAGGCTCAAACTATAAATTGGATGACCAAACGGTTTCCAAACAAGACATGTTTATAGTCGAATCGAGCGGCTCGATGAGAAGAATCCAAACGAGCCCAAGATCGCCAAATTCTGGCATCATTAAGGTACTCAAATGCTCGATAAACGGTATTTGATCAAGGGAAACAATATCGGCCGTCCATTCAAACCACTCCCAACAACATACCCTTGAGGGTATCTCCCTCCTATTTACTGATCATGTAACTCTTAGAAAACTATAAATAGACCCCTCATTCTTCATTGAAGGGGGGGAGCAAGGGGAGGGAAGTAAGGAAGAAAGAGAAATTAGAGCTCTCTTGCCGGACTTCCGCCTGGTCACCGACTGCTGTCGGAATTCTGTCTGGCCACCAACTGACATTGAACTTCCACTTGGCTTCTAATTATTGTTGGACTTTTGCCTGGCCGCCAACTGCTGTCGGACTTCTACTCGGCTACCGACTGACACCGGACGAACACTCGACCACCAACTAACGATGGATTATTGTATGACCAAAAACTGACACCAAACTTCTTCCTATCCACCGACTACGTAGACTTACACCTAGCTGCTGTTGACGAACATTTTCGTATCGACCTGACCCCGATCGAGTCCGACTAGGCTCGATCGACCCAATCGATCGTCGTCGAGGCGAAATTGACTCAAATTAAACCTCAATTTAGTTAAACTAAATTAAAATCAAATCAAATCAAATCGAACCCCGTTGAGCCCAATTTGACGCAATTCAACGCCGATTTGAGTTCAATTTCATGAAATTAACTCGATCGGACCCAGATCGACCCAAATTGATCCAAGTCGAGTTCGATTCGAACTCAATTTCAGCCCAAATCAGCCAATTTGGGCTAGATTGAGTCTCAAAACCAAAAATTTGAGATCTAGGGTTGAGATCTCATCTCAATTCCCACCCAAATTTGAGTCAAATCCTGCAGAGAATCCACTCGAATGGATTTTTCTTCGTTTCGAGCAATGAGGTGGGATGGGACGAGTTGAGCGGTGCCTTGCTAGGCTTGTGCGCCTCTAAGAAACAAAAGGGAGAGTGGGGAATCCATTCGGCTCCCTGTGTGTGTTCAGTCCCGTCCCGAGCGAGAGAAAGAGAGGGAGAGCGGAGAGGGGATTTCCGCCCCTCTGCGTGCGTCTCCAGGCGTGGAAGAAGGAACGAGAGAAAGGGGAAGGTCCGCCCCTTGCGTGCGGTTCGTCCGTCCCAGGCAAAGCAAGGAGAGTCGGTCGACTCTCCTGGGTGATGTTCGTCCAGGTGGAGGAAGGGAAATCAGAGGGGAAGAGCTTCTTGTGTACTCCATTGCTGTTCTTTTCTTCCTTGGATCAAAAGAGGGAAGTTTCTCTCCATTTTTCCTCTATTCCTCCAAGTGGAAGAGTATAAACTCGCTCTTTTCCTCTTCCCAAGCAAAAGGGGAAGTGTTGGAGGATAGTAGAGACACTTGGAGGCTGTCTACTTGCTGTGGAGGCCTTTTCCACCCCTTTCTTCAACTCTGGCGACCTCCAAACAGCCAAGACAGCAGTCCAGAACTTCTTGGACAGTAGATTTGTCATCCAGAAATGCTTGGACAGCAGCTACGCAGCCTCCAAGGGCTTTCAAACGGTGAAAGCTGCTGTTTGGAGCATCTTGGACAGCAAAGGAGGCCTTGGGAGCACCTTGGACAGCGGCGGTGACGTCCGGAGAGGCTTGCACAGCAATCTTCTTCCTTGGGAACATCTTGGACAGCAGCTTGGAGCCTTCAAAGGACCTTGGACAGCGATCTGGAGCTTGAATCGGAGCTTGGACAGTGCTTGGAGCTTGGATAGGAGCGCTAGGACAATCCGGGAGAGGTATAACACTAAAACTTAGGTAAAACCTTAAGGCTCCCTAGCCAATGGCATGTGATTGACGATCCAAAGCCTTAGGTCCCAATGAACTTTGATTTTTGGTCTCCCAAAATCCCTTTGTTTGCTGCCCTCTCCGCAAAACAATGAAAAATTAGTTTTTTCACTTGTTTGCTTTCTTGTAGAGTCAAAGAGGCATGCCAATACGCGTAGGGGTGTTGGATTGGTATCCAACACCCCCCCCCCCCCCCTAAACGCATGAAATGACATCATGTAGTTTTCCAACGCCTTCACCTACAACTAAACCATGGGATAGGTAATTACATTCGATTCAAAATCAAATATCGATGTTTAGAAATCTTTTCAAAATGTGGTATAAATGTTTGATATCTAGATTTATATGTTATGACAAAATTAATGCATGCATGTAGAAGGTTTATATTGTTATGCTACTTATGGTTTTCTCCAAATTTATTGGATGTTCAAATGTGCATTTCAATTATTTCATGAAATGGTGGGATCTTTCATGAACATTTATGGTTTATGTTTTAAATCTCATAACGAATTGATTGATTGAAATCATCTTTGAAATCTCTTCAAATTTGGAGGGTCAAATCAATCAAATTTTCAAATCAAATGCACTCATTCATAGGTTCTCCTTAGATTAGAGCAAAGTGATCCTTAAGACTTACCAATAAGCATTCAAGTGGTGGTTCACTTGCATGCCTCTAGGTTTCATTAGATAACACCAAAGGTTGTCTTCCAAACCTCCTAAAAATCGTAGGAGTAAGTTATCCCCTCCAAATGAATCCAAAACATTCATTCACATTATGGGGAACTCTCTTTCCCATACGATTCCTCCTTCATACATTGTAAGTGGAGCCTCCTCAAGATTCCAAGTGCCGTGTTATATGAGCCTTTGAACTTAGAAATAAATCCTAAGTCTCCAACCCTTTGTTTGTTGAGACAGTCAACAAACAATCATCATCCCTTTCATGCACATTGATTGAAACCTTCTCAAAGTTCCAAATTTATCATTGCATGACTTTTAACTCACCTTAGGAGCTACCACCAATCTTCCCATGCATATGGTTGTAAGCTCTTGAACTTGAGATCAAACATCAAGTTCTTTCATCTCATTTGCTTCGCCACTATTTAGGCAAATGAATACCCCTCCTTGGACACCCAATGTCCAAGGAATCCCTTTCAACATGCAATTCCAAATGTTGCTTGTTGCTTCTCTCTTCTACAACTTAAGAGTTGTAGAAAGTCCTCTCATTCTCCTAAACCCAAATTTAGGAGAATGATTATCCCCCTTTGAACACCAAATGTTCAAGGGCACCCATGAATGTGGAATCTCTAAGTTGCGCATTATTTCCTCCTACCAAACAAAAAGTGTAGAAAATCTCTCCATTCACTTAGCCTAAATCAAGTGAATGTGTGCCATTTCCTTTGAACTCCAAATGCTCAAAGAAATTCCTCTAACTTGCAACCTATAAGTTGCACATTTTCCCCTTTCTACAACCCAAAAGTTGTAGGAAAACCATCTCATTCTTCTAAAACTCAAAATTAGGAGAATGTACACATCTCTTTTGAGCACCAAATGTTCAAAGGATTTCTATAATTTGCAACCTCTAAGTTGTATTTCCCTCTCTTTCCTACAAGCCAAGATTATAGAAGAGCTTCCAAATCCATCTTCATGCTCTCAAACCCAAGTTGGGAGAATGAATTCCCCTCTTTGAACTCCAAATATCCAAAGAGGTTTTAGAAGCTTGCAACCCAAAGTTGCATCTTTTTTTTTCAACAACTCAAAAGTCGTATGAAAGTCTCATCCACTCAACTCATATTGAGTGAATCAATCTTATTCCAAACCAACCTATTTGTTCAATCAAAACCAACGAATAGTTTAATCTAAATTATTTATTTGTTGAACCAAACTCAACAAAAATTCCATGTTAAGCAAATGAGTCAAAATCCTAGCTTTCCTTCATTCTCCTAACCCAAACTAGGTGAGTGAGTTCCTCTCTTTGGACACCCGAAAGTTCAAGGGATCCTTGATGTGTAGGCCAAAACTACACATCATTCTCTCATGTTTGCTTAATCCAAGTTTAGCAAACAAAATACTCATCATTGAACATAAAAGTTCAATGGTAATCCCTCTTTATTTGTAATCTCAAAGTTACAAATCCTTCTCACCTATTGAGCTAAAATTCAATAAGTGACTCACCTTTGTTTGCCTAATCCAAATTATGCAAATGAAATCCAACTCCTTGAATACGAAAATTCAAGGAGCATCCTTTTAATTTGTAGCCTCAAAGCTACTAATCTCTCCTTACTTCTATAGGTTCCAAAAGGCCTTAGAAAATATCATACCTTAGCCCAAAAGCTATAGGTTTCCACTCTCCTCCAACTCCAAAGTTGTAGGAGATTTCCCCTCTCTTTAGCTCCAAAAGCTATAGGGAGTTCTCCTACACTTATCCCAAAAGCTAAATGT